TGATCTGAAAAGCATATTACATGAACAGAACTATTTATGTTTTTTTTTTAAAGTAAATCGTAGCTTAGCATGGTGTACTCCGTCAGTCAATATTACGCCTCAATGAGTGCAATTGCTAGTTTATCATTGGTAGATGAATGTTTTGTAGAGGTGCCTTATGAATATACTGACAGATGTAATGTCTGCTTTCTAGGAGATCAGTGAAATGCAGGTTCAGTTCTCACATTTTGCACTGTGTGCTTTGGCTTTGATCTAGGAAAGAAGAAGAATTGTCATAGTCGTTTCACTAAGAGAAGCAGTAGGTAGAATAGAATGTGCGTTTGTTCGTTGGCACGTGTAGCTATGTGATTTGAACCATGAAGTACCTTCTGGTTTATTATAAGTCTTGTTTCTTTTACTTTGTTAGTACCATTAAGAATGGGGTGCAATGGCTCAGCTTGTCATTTGGAAACCAACCACTACTTCCTATGGAGATGTTTGTAAATCTCTTCTTCTTGAGATAAGGCAAGAGGACAGATATGTAGAGTTCTCAATTAACAAAAATACACAGCCATGTTTTACCACTTTTTTGCAGGACTAACACTATCTAGTTGTTGGAGACATGGCTGCCCTTTGTGTGAATAGTGGGTTCTAATGTTTCTTCTTATCATTCAGACTCCATTGAGTTTATGTACAATGAACGAGGAAGCTGCAGGAACTGGATATGTCTAACAAAGGGAGGGACTAAAGGTCACATGATAGCAGTCTTCCAATATTTGTGGCAGGGGTGGGATGCTGTCCAGCTCTATAGAACCGGTAGCTCTGAAGAGCAGCAGACACAGAACCGGTTCTGTGTTTGCTGCTGCTTGGCCCACCTGCCCGCCCAGGCTCTTACCTGTCCTTTCTTTCCCGCTTTTTCAACTTCAGCTGCTTTGCACGGCACAGCTGAGGTTGAAAAAGCTGGGGGGGGGGGGAAAGGCTTTTCAAATGCTGCACACCTGCACGCAGCGCTTTTCAGCTGTCTGGGCAGCACAGCTTAAGGTTTCTTTTTTTACACACGGGCGCAAAACGTAATCACCGAACTGGTAGTAACACCAGTTGAATTCCACCCCTGGTTTGAGGGGCTGTCACAGAGAGGAGGAGGTCAACCTATTCCCCTTGAGGGCAGGAGAAGAAATAATGGATGGAAGCTTATCAAAGAGAGAAGTTGTGAGTGCTCCATCACTGGAAGTTTTAAAGAAGAAATTGGAAAGCCGTTTGTCCAGAATCATATAGTCTCCTGCTTAAGCAGGGGGTTAGACTGGAACAGATGCCCTCAACTTTGTGGGTGAGAAGGGAACCAGGCTGTCACTTGTGTGAGTGGATCTGTGTGTGTGCATGTGTACCGGTCCACTGCTCAGGGGGCCTGGTTTTGAGTAGGCTATGGCCCAGGGATTGCCATCCAAGACATCCAAGGTCCCTTCCAGTTCTGTTATTCTATATTCTATAATTTTCTGTTAATGGAATTCCACTAGTGCAAAGATAACATTATATCTATATAATTATTTCTTCTCCATTATTCCAAGGGCAGTTGGATTAATTCTAAGACTTACCATTCCACCTGATACAATTGTGGAATTTATTTGGAGCATGTTAATAACTATGCACTGCTAGATGGTTTGGAGTCATAATCGTTTGGATTTTTTGAAACGGAGTTGACATAAGTTTGTCAAGCAAGTTGGGTGACTCTGGCTTTGTTTGGCCTGCTCATTCCCATAAATGCTATAATAGCTGGAGCTATCCAGTAGGTTTAATTAAATCTCTTAAACACCATTAAATTTAGATGTACACTCACATTTATCAGATTGCATGATCTGAAAAGCGGACCGTACACCTGCGAGAATACGCTAGGACAGGAGTGTCACTTGATTTCATTGAAGGCCACATGAGGGTTGTGTTTGGGGGCCAGGTGGGCGTGGCCAGCTCAGCCACTCATGTTGGGGGCCCCGAGCGCTTTGCAAGTGAAAACGGGCTCCCGAGCTGCATTTTCGGCTGCAACAGCCTCCTGCAGTCTTCTGCCAGAGAAAACGGAGCTTGGGAGTGCCACCCACGGCCTTTGTGAGCTCCATTTTTGGCTGTAACAGTCTCCTGCAATCCTCTGCCAATGAAAACAGAGCTTGGGAGGGCCGCACGCAGCCCTCCCAAGCTCCATTTTCACTGGGCCAGTTTTCGCTGTTTCCAGGGCAGATCCGGCCTCCAGGCCTTGAGTTTGTCACCTCTGCACTAGGAAGAAGAAGAAGATGGGTGCTTTTATGGAGAAAGCCGGCAATAAGTGTTTGCTTTTTAAAAGTATTGCTATATCAAAGAAAAATGGAACTGGAGCTATGAAAATTCACAAGAGTAGTTTCATAAAACACCTACAGTCTCTGGCTGGTTATTATTTAAAATATCTTCGAGCCATCCTTCAGTTCAAAAATTCAAGCCTAGTTTATTTATTTGTTTATATACACATTTCTATACCATTCCATCCCAAGTCTTTGTGCAGTTTAGCCAAGATAGAAAACATAATAAAAACAAGTAATAATGTTTATAATCATAATTAAAATTAAAACAAGATAAAATTATGTACCTAGAAAAGTTATGTATATACCCATAATCCAAATCCTGCAGCCCAAACATTCCTAATATTCAGAAGGCCAATTCAATAATTTTTTGTCATTGTTTGTTTTAAACTTAGCAATGGAAGGGCTCCTGCCATGTTCCTCAGATCTGTCACAGTACAAGAATCCAAAGTTTCTCCCTCTAAAAAGACTGCCTAGACAAAGAGATTCTCCTTAAAGTAGACAGACTCTATGATATTCCAGAACCAAGCTTTGGAGGCCTTTTTAGGTTAACAACAGTCCTGCTGTGCTATATTCATAAATCTGTCAGCAGCACAGATTAAACCAATGGTATCTGACTGGCCAATTACATTCTGAACTAACAGATTTGGGCTGGTCTTTGGGTGATCTTCAGATACAGTGCCATGTACCATGTAGAGCACACTAAATAATAAACACAAAGTGATAAGTCAACTTATATTTGCTTAGTCCTAAATAGAGATTTGGTTTGCAAAGGCAAATACAGAATAATTGATCTGCATTCTGAAACAGATTGAGTGATCATGAATATAATATTTATTCTCAAAACCTATTGTTATCATCATCATTATCTATCATGGTATATTTTTCCATTAGCAAGCCTGAAGTATCTAAAAAAGATTAACATTGCTTAGTTATACCTCCTTATACAAAATGGTTCCAAAAGTTACCAAGATAATATAAAGCTATCAAGGATGTAATAATACTGACAGGCAATAGTCTAGTGACTGAAATCTCTTCTGTCTTGAAGCTTAGTTATCCTCTAGTTTATTTTGCTCCTTGCAGTATATCAATATCTGGTCTGTTAAAAGTCTTCCTTATAAATGCTCATGGTCTCCTCTACTGACATTAAAAGTGTCTGATGGGCCTAAAACATATCCTGAAGAATACATTTATTCCAACAGAAAAAACATCACAATCTGCAAATGAATTAGTGACACCTTTCCAAAAGAGAGATGAGATCAGCATTTGGCATGTATCCTAAGTTTGCGGGTTGCCTGGCTACTGGTTCAACTAATTCTGCACCACACATGGGGGAAAAGGGAAGAGAAAAGGGAAGAGAAAAGGAGAGAAAGAGAGAGAGAGACGTTCTAAAAGTGGTTGGTTTCCTTTCAGGGCTAAGCATTCAATCCTTCCATAGAGTTTTCACATAGTTCAGAAGCTTTTGCAATTAAGAGAAGCTGTGAACTGAATGAACCCCTATGTGAATTATTTTTTTACTCCCCATAGGAATAGTTCAGAGTTGCACTTTCTTTAAAGTAATGAATATTATCTGGGAATCAAAAAGCACCCAGAGGGAATTTGGGTGGAATTGTACGATTGTTCTGAGAATAATTCTTTCAAATGCATGAGCCATGCAGTGTTGAAAGGATACCTAATTCATCTGCGTGTACTGCTGAAAAATTGCTACTGGTCTTCACCCTGCTGATTTCCAAATGAGCACATTGTTGCAGAAGTCCTGCATACTTTTATTCTCCTTTGCTACAATATTTCCTAACTGGAAATTCAGTGTTCATATCCTGTAATTATCCATACATAAAGCTTCAGATGAGGTGCATTGAAGTGGTTGTGCATTTAGTTCTTCGACTGTATCACCCTATAGCAGTGGTCGCCAACCAGTGGGCCGGGGACCACTGGTGGTCCATGAGAAAATTTTGGTGGTCCGCAGAGAAATGTCACCCCAAAGCACCCCCCCAAAGCAATTAATCCAGGCTGCGCGGGAACACAAGGCTGTGCCGCCCACATGGCCCACAGGAACACAAGGCTTGTGTCGCCTGCATTGCAAACGACACAAGGTAGTGAGGGGAGGAGGTGGAGAGAGAGTGGGGAACTTGCCTCACTCACCCTATGCACTTCGCCTGGCACTGGGCTGCTTCTTTCTGGTTCTTTCTTCTGCTTTGGGCTACACACAAAGAAAGCAGCAAAAGTCCTTGTTTCTCTCCCCAAATTCCACCAGAAATGAGTCTTTGGGACCCTGCAAGACATCCTGCTCCAAGAGGCTGCGCCAGCGCGACAAGTCTCACAAAGACTCATTTCTGACAGAGTTTGGGGGAGAGAAAGAAAGACTTCTGCAGTTACTGCTATTTTCCTTGCATGAAGCCAAAAGTCTCTCTCTCCCCCCCGAGAACGGAGCTGGAGACGGTATCCTGTGAACCCAAATAAAGAATGATTGATCGGTAGGAAAACGGGGTAGGGACTTTTCCTGCAGACTTTTGGGGGGATTTTCCCAGGGTCTCTGGTCTGCAGGATTTAAAATGATGAGTTTGGTGGCCCCCGAGGTCCCAAAGGTTGGCGACCCCTGCCCTATAGATCAGGAACCTTGATTGATCTGCTGTACTCCCAACCTCCTTCCTCCCCTACCTGGGAGCAAGGATGGGTGGGAGTTTCCTTTCTTCTTTCCAGAAGCAAAAAGGGTTGGAATACCAATCAAACTGACCGTCTCTCAGGGGCAGCCAGTGAAGCTGAACTGCAGCCTGGAGGGAATGGAAGAACCAGAGATGCTGTGGATCAAAGATGGAGCTGTGGTGCAGGGTATAGACCAGGTATACATTCCAGTAAATGAAGAACACTGGATAGGCTTCCTCAGGTAAGAATGACATAGAGAACAGGATAGGCTAGATCAATGTATGATGAATGCTAATATTAAAGATTAATTTATTTTGCCCTGTTTTGTGGAATTTTTCTCCTGAATCTAAACCAGTGTTTCTCAAACTCTGTAACACTTAAAATTGGTGGACTTTCCCATCCAGTGTGGAATTCTGGAAGCGGAACTTGGCGCATCTTGAAGTTGCCGAGGTGGACAAGCACTGATCTAAACTTTTTATGCTTTCTAGTTCTTTCCCTATTTTTGTTGCTAATGGTTTATAACATTGTGCCTACCCGTAATATTGAAATGCTTAAGGCACTCTACGCTCATTATTTAGTAGCAATCCTTATAACAAATCCTAAACACGTTGAACAATTTCAATATAATTGCCCCCTCCCTCGAATATTGCAACCTGAGCTTGAGGGAGAATGATTTGCTGTAGGCAAAAGTGGGCTTTTATGGACTGCATTTTGGAGGGACAAAACTACCGTAAAGTGGGATGAGAAGGATGGATTTTCAATTTCTTCCTTTGTTGTAGGAGAGGAAAGCCTCTTTGTTTTTTGTTGGTTTGTTAAGCTTGTTTTAGGCGATTTGTGCCTGTAGCAAAATAATGGTAAATGATATTACTGTTCTTCAAAATTATGGTAGAGGGACTCCAGGGACATATTAGGGCATCCAAGAGAAGGGGTGATATCAGAAAAGTCAAGAAGATAGCTACAACCCACAGAGCTTTGATTGCATGGCTGCTACTGCCATTATGACTTTTGTGACACACACAGATCCCCTGGAACCCACAAAAAGGGAGCTTTTAGAGATTTTATTCATCTTTGTGGCCTAAGGAAAACTATTTTTGCAACCTGGTCTTAAAAAGCCCATTTGAAATACGTCCAACTATACATCCAACCGGTAAATCTGCATGGTACCATCCATCTGTCTCTCAACCACACAATCTTTTTATTTTCTGTACCGCACATCCTTTTATTTATTAGAATTTCTTGATGGCACCTGCAGGAATTCACGAAAGGAAGAAACAAAAATGTGTGGATAAGGTAGAAGGTTTGGTGGGTACCTGGTAACAAATTTGTACCTGTGCATAACCTATTGCAATCACTGGAAGCAGAATACATTTTGCAAATACTTGAAAATAAAGATAAAGGTGGATATATAGGTGCAGTTTTCTTGGCAACAGAATTCAGCTTTGCATGCTCTTCTCTCTGGTGCTACTTTTTAATTTCCCAGTTTGTCTAAGCACAGCAATCTTCCTGGCAGTCTCCTATCCGAGTTCTAACCAGGCCTAGTTGGGTGGTTGCTGCTACTTACTTTGTGTACCTGGTAGTGAGTTTTTTTTAACCAGTGGTCTTGTTTTCTATATCCTGGGTTCATAGATAAAATAAGGGGTCATTTTTATAAGTAATAGAGAGGCAGAATATTCCAATGCAAGAATGCAAATTGACACTGGATTGTCCATTCCAAACCTCTTAGCTTTGCTAGCTAAAGAATCCAGAAAAAAATGTTCATTTTCTTCCATCTCTAAGATTGGCATTAAAGAGAACCACCAGCCTATATTGTATTAGTCCCCACAGATTTCTGTTGAACCTGTAGTTGTCATTTTATCCAGAGAGAACTTTCTCCCCTGTCATGGTTTTTGTTTCCAGCATTGTTAATGATAGCTTTTGAAGATAAAGAAAGCTGTATACTACTTTTATATACTGTATATATTCGTTCCCCTAAGCTCTGCAACAAAACTAGATGGTTAATTTCTGAGATATATAATTAAACATTTCCTTGACATTGGTTTTTTTTCCCCTTCACATTCTTTTCTCCTTGACTTTGATTAAAAGGAGAGAATTTAATTCAGCCTCTACTTCCTAGATCAAATCTGGGATCTGCAGCGAGAAAAAGATGTGTCATACAAACCAAGCCTTAGTCATCTCCCACAAGCAATGTTCCAGAGTATTTACTCCATCATTTACTTTAAGCCAAGGATGCAATACTTCAGTCAGTTGATTATAAGACGTAGAAAAGACGCTTAGTGTGCTTCAGTGTATGTGTATTTAAAAAAAGCTGAACTCATTTTCATGGTGATTTTGCCAGACGTACTTGAGAAGAAGCTCTCTGCAAATAATCCCTTTGGGGCCTTCTGAATAAATAGTTTCTCGAGATTTGTAAATTGTCAGCAAAGCCCTTGAAATTTTATTGTGCTTCTGTAATGAAATTGATATCTCAGTGTTTGCAGGAAATTAATATTTCAGTGTTCTACAGTGACAAGCATTCATGTTTGCATCTCAGGCAATCCTAACGACAGCCTGCATTGGAAACTTCAGCTTACGTTGGTTGAATAATAGTGTATGAAAGGAGAAGTCAATTTTGGTGGGCAGGTCAGGGCAGACAGCAAATTAACAGGAAAATCAGAGAAACCTAAATACGAAAGTAAACTTCCCGTCTTCATGTCCAGAATATGAGCTGAGTTATCACAAAACTGGATGCTGTCACTAGCTGAAACTTTGATCATTTTAAGAATGAGTGATGAGTGGTGGATACGGCATTGGACTGGGGAGATTCAGATCCAAACCCCTCCTCAATCATGGAAATTCTGGCACACTTTTTTTTTTTGGACCACTCACTTTCTCTCAGTCTACTTTACTGAATTATTGTGGCGGGGTAAAATGAAGGTGCCCATGAAAATCAACTTGAGCTCCTAGAGAAAAGATGATATATATTACCATGTGAATTAATAGCTGGGGGTAGAATATCTCTCTTGGATCAGGTTTTTAAGATGTCTCTCCTAATAACTTCTACAACAAATTGAAAGAATGCTAGTGAAGCTTTTCCTAAATGTCATTATTATTTACCTGACATCTGAGGCAAGTATATAAATCACAGTGTTTGCATGATGACATCATCATGCATGCTTCATCATTTATTGCCTTGCCTCACCCGCCTTACCTCTCCTGTGGGCATCCATGGCTATACCACATCCCAGTGAAATGAGTTATCCTCCCAAAGGCATTATGATATTTCCCTTTCTTCTGATGAGAAAATGATTAGTTTGTTAGGAGACTTATTAAATTTGAGCTATGCTGAGTAAGGTCAAAAAAAATCACAGATCCTTAAGTAATTTCTTTTATGAAGGAACATTTGCTCTGTCCTCTTCACTCTTGTAAAATAAACATTATTTGCAATCTGTGCCTATTTCCAAACTTCAGGTTTAGGGCTGAATAGTTTGGCAGCATTAGACTTCCTGGAACCAGTGAGTGATTTAACTCCCTCAAAACCTTCAGACAGGAATTGCACAGTTCATTCATGTGGGTAGTAATCCTAGAGTATCATCCATCGGTGCCAATTTTTTTAAAACCCTTTTGGAAAAAAAAAATCTTTCTTTCACTTCATTCTTTGGAGGGTTTTTGTTTCAAGAGAAAATTTCTCCAACCAGATGTTCTCCAGATGTTTTAGGATCCCATAATATCTGGCCAGCATAGCTAGCACTTGGAAGCTGTGTTAGGGAAGGCTGTTCTACAATGTAGTTCTTGCTTTCTGATCTATTCACAGAAACATTTTTAGGTGAAACCGTCTGAAGGCGAACCTGTTTGTTTGTTTCTTTGCTGCCCATCTCAGCCACAGGGTGACTCTGGGCAGCTTACAGTGGTTTTTTTTTTAATTTTTATTCTTTAAAAACAAAAAATACAAAAATCTCATTTCCATTAACAGTTATTGTGTCATTGTATATACATGTTTCTTATTTTGTGACTATACATTATTTTTATCCTTATCCTTCACCCATTCGTACCACCTCTCCCATGTTGCATAGTATTCTCGATCCTCTTTGCCTTTCAGTTCCATAGTGAATTTATGTAGTTCAGCACAGTCCATTATTATTTGAATCACAATTTCACCTGGTGGTATTTTATCACTCTTCCAATTTTGTGCTAACGTGATTCTTGCTGCAGTTAAGATGTGTACAGTAAGGTATCTTTTCTCCTTACTCAAATTCCCTTTGATCATACCTAATAAAAACATTTCGGGTTCCAAACTCAATTTATATTTTGTAATCTCAAAAAGCCATCTCTGTATTATCTTCCAGTATTTTTTGACCTCTATACATTGCCACCACATATGGAAAAACATTCATTTCTTTTGTTTGCACTTCCAGCATTCTGGTTTCAAGGTTGAATACATTTTCACCAGTCATGCCAATGCTAAGTGCCATCTACAAAACATTTTATATTGATTTTCTTTGAATGCCGTCGACAAAGTCAGCTTCCAGTTCTTGGTCCAAGTCTTTTCCCACTCATCCAAATTTATATTATGATCCACATTTCTTGCCCAGGAAATCATTGGTCCCTTAAAAATTTCCTCCTCTTGTTCTACCTCCAGTAAATAATTATATGTTTGTATTATGAATTTTATATCCTTGCCTGTCAAGATTTGCTCCAATTTTTGTAAATCTTTGTCTATCCCTAGCTCCTTTATATCGTTCTTAAATTTAGTTTGAATTTGCAAATATACCCACCAGTCTAATATTATCCCTTGTTCTTTTAGTTTATCCAGTGTTTTTAATTCCCCCCGTTCATCTACCAATTCTTTATAACTAATCATTTTTTAATGTCCCTTGTATTTGGATATAATATAGCTTCCATAGGTGAGATTCAGTTTGGTCTTTTCAAATAATGCTTTTTTTATTTTCTCCCATGTTTGTAAAAATGAGTCCCTTATCAAATGTCTATGGAAATAGGAGTGGATCTTATTCTTTTTTATCCCATAGAAAGGCATGCCACCCAATTTGGAGGTCATGACCTTCTATCACCAAAATTCTTTTATTTTTTAAGTTTATCCACTCCTTAACCCATAAAATTGCTGCTTGATAATATGTTTCCCATTTTGGGAGTCCAAGGCCACCTCTGGTTCTACTATCTTGTAACATTTTCAATTTTATTCATGCTTTTTTCCCCATCCATATAAATTTCATTACCATCCTATCTAATTCCTGAAAAATTCTTATCCAATTTTATAGGTATTGTTTGAAAATAGTATAATAGCTTCGGTAGTATGTTCATTTTTATGGCCGCTATTCGGCGTAATAGTGATAATTGTAATTTTCCCCAATTGATCAGATCTTTCTTTATCTGTGAAAGTAATTTTCTATAGTTATCCTCTTTTATGGAAGAGCATCTTCCTGTTAACCAAATTCCTAGATATTTAAGTTTTTTGACACTTTGTAATCCCAATTTCCTTTCCAATTGTTTTTTTTTTACTTTCTATCAAGTTTTTGGTTATTACTTTTATTTTATCTTTATTAATTTTTAGTCCTGCTACCGCCCCATATTCTGGGCAGCTTACAATGTTATTGGATCAATTTAATGATATACATCTTATTTGCAAAATGATCCCAAGTTTAACCCTTAGCAATTTTAGTCTATATGGCTAGCCTGGGAATGTCTTCCAGGTAGGATCTGCTAGTCAGAGGAAATAGTAATTGACTGGATATCATTTTGAGATCCTGTTTAATGTAGTAGCTAAGGCATCAAACTAGAAACTAGGAGACCATGAGTTCTAGTTCTGTCTTAGCCAAGTGGATGATCATGGGCCAATCATTTTCTCACAGCCCTAGTTGTCAAGCAATGACAAACTATTTCTGAAATTTTGCCAAGAAAACTACAAGGCCTAGGCCAGACAGTTGCCAAAAGTCAAAACTGACATGAAGGCACACACATAACAAAATATTTCATTGATGCAGTTCCCTTTCCTCCTTTTTAAAATGTTCAGGGTGAGGAAAACAATAACACTAAAAAGACTGCACTATTCAATTTGTGACAAATTAAAAACAAAAGAATTAAGAGATATTTTATATCCACACGTTTGTTTGTATACAGTATTATTTACCATTTTATATTCCCCTTTCAACTTTCTAGCTTGAAGTCTGTAGATCGGACAGATTCTGGAAAATACTGGTGCCAAGTGGAGACCAATGGGAAGAAAGAGGAATCACAACATGTATGGCTTATTGTGGAAGGTAAGGGGTCACGTTGCTGACTTCTGTCTGGGGCAGTTGTGATTATTGTAAACTGTGAGAGGAGGTTGCCGTGATTGACGTTAGCCCATTTCCAGGGTCTGTGCAACTATGACCAAAACAAAAATATTCTCATAATGAGTCAATAAAGACCCAAGTTGGTGGAAGGGAGTAGCTGTAGACTATTACATAATTTTTGCAATCTTTGGTAGTACAGGACGTGGAGCATTTCCAAGGCTGTTTCCAGACTTGTATTTGAAATTGTGCATAGGAAATTGCTAGAATGTGACTGTCCGCCTATGTCTTCACAATAGAACAGGGGTGTCAACCTCAATTTTATTGAGGGCTGCCTCAGGGTTGTGTTTGACTTCAGAGGGCCAGATGGGCGTGACCAGGATGGGCGTGGCCAGCTTGGCATCATTCATGTCGGGGGCACTTGTGGTAGTTCAGGCGAGCCTGGGGGTATCCTCCTGCAGCCCTCTGCCAGCGAAAATGGAGCCAGGGACCCCGAGCTCCTTTTTCACTGGCAGAGGAACCATGGGCCAGTCCTTCACTATTTCATGGGCCAGACCTAACCCCGCTGTGGGCCGGAATTTGACACCCCTGCAATAGAATAATGATATGAGTATATTGGTGATCGTATCAATTGTGGAAAAAGGTCCAGATAATTTTTCAAGACATTGATTTGCTGCTTGTGAGTGAGGAAAGATTGATGTCCTTCTCTGTTTTAGGTCTTAGATATATGTTATGAAAATAGGGGAAAAGGGAGATCATCAGGGGTGAAATTCAACCACCTTGGCCCACCTTAGGAAAGGTGGTAGGGACAATTTGAATCGTCCCTGGTTGCTATTACTATTACACCAAATATACCAAGCCACGCCCACAGTCACGCCCATAGAGCCAGTAGGGAAAAAATTTGAATTTCACCCCTGGAGATCATACACTATTGCCAGTGGCATTGATTTCAAATCTAGGACTTAGCTTTGTTAGGAAATTCCAGAGGGTCCCAGTCAATTACAGAGAAAAGTTAATCAGATTAAGGAGAGGCAGGAGACTGGTTAAACACAAGCTAGGGATGTGTTCAAAGGTCAATAAGCTGTGATCAGGCAGAAGTTGGAGTCCAGCATTAGTTTTGGTAGATCACAGTCAAAGAGACAGAGGATGAAGCTTAGCAGAAAACTGGGCTGGAGGATTAACGCTAGATAAAGTCAGGCAAGCTAAAACTAAGGAAAAATGGTTTGGGTAGAGTGTTCTTATAAGTAAACGCTGCAGTCTGCTTGGCTGGCTCACGAACCAGAGAACTGGTGATATAGGAGGGAGATTGTCTGCTGGAGGCTCTGATTAAATCTCTCCTATGGTACCCTACAGCATGTTAACTTTTAATGGTTGTAGGGTTTTTGTCTCCTGATATCATTGCTTACATTTTAAAACGATCTATATTTTGATATTTGGTTGAATGTAGTAGGATCTTAGCTGCTTATTAATGCACCCGTGCTTTTAACTGTAGGGAAACTGTGTGGGAGTAGCATATAGGGTTTTATTCCTTCCTTACTTCTGTTTAGATGGGTACTTGGTAGTTTATGCAGATTGGATGGAGGACATATTAAAGAGCCTTTGGCCTCGGTAACTATACATCTGTGAAGCCCAAACTTACATGATTCATAAAGGATGGGTGGCTTCCTTTAGCTTACCTTGGGAGGATCCGTATGGGCCATAATTATGGCCCTGGACCTGACCATGCTATCAGTGTCAGCTTGTATAATAACTAGAAAGGATTCTGCGGCAGAGCTACATTCTAATGCAGCAAGCAACGCTTGCTGTTCTGACTCATGGCTGAATCAGAGTCCCAGCATGGGCTCAGAGTACCATGCTCTTTAGATATTTTTAATTTTTTTTTGGCACAAAAATACTTGCAATACTGTTTTTTTTTTTTCCTCCTATCCTTCTTCTGGAAAAAAATAATGAGATTTTCAGTGGCGGTAAGCATAAAAGAAACGATACAGGAAGGTTGCATGAGCTGTATCAGCCACATGGGGAACAAGGAAGCCTCTGCTTTTCCTTATTATCTTTTGGAGTTTATAATAAAAGGGGGAGGGGGAGGGGAGAAAGAGGCTAGGTGTCATTTTAAGAAAAATGAAATCACAGGAGAAACTGGGAGAGAGAGAGAGGGAGGGAGAGAGAGAGAGAGAGAGAGAGAGAGAGAAAGAGATGCCTGCACAGATATACATAAACCCTGATGTCACGTAAGCACATCTTTGTACAATTGAAGCTGCCAGGCTACCCAGCCATACCCTGGGCTCTTCTTCCTCCAAACATCCTCTCTTTAGCACAACCCCTATCTTCCTTCTCCTTTCCTAGCCTAAAAAGGAAACAGTTGTCTTTAGTGTCAGAAGGGAAAGGGGAATTCTGACTATAGATGTCAGCTCTTAAAGGTAGACCAACCTAGGAAACCAATGTTATGCATGCCAAGGCTCTTTTATGTAGGCATATAGTAGTGGCATTTTATAAGTCTCAATGCTTACCCCTTCCTTCCCTTTATTTTCATGAGAACTAGGGAGGATCTTCTCTGAGATGTTTTCTCAGGTTACATTTCTATCCTGTAAATATTTTACATAATGTAGAAAATAGAATTTTCCCCTCAGAAAATGGTATGGCTAAATGCTTCTGTTGACGTAACTTAGACTCTGAAGGTCAAACAGTATTGCTTTTACTTTACTAAAACAAAAAATGTCAAGTTTAAAGCCAACAGAGCCAAAGAGCTATTTGATTTGGATTTTGAGTAACTGTTTATTTAAGAACAAAAACAAAACAAACTGTCATTTAAAATTATTACTCAATACTTATGTCAGCCTTGTGAGTTATTTAATATCTGAAGGAATATTATTAAGTTGTCTTATGGCAGATGTGTGTCCTAAAATACTATTCCAACTTCTAAAAATGAAAAGCAGCCCCAGGAGAACACTAGAGTAGTACAGAGATTTCCCTAGCTTTGAACCAGATAAATCAAGGGTCTTCAAACTTGGCAAGTTTAAGACTTGTGGACTTCAACTCCCAGAATTCCTGAGCTTACATGACAGGAGGAGGAATTATGGGAGTTGAAGTCCACAAGTCTTAAAGTTGCCAAGTATGGAGACCCCTGACATAGATTATACATAGCAGATTAGAAGAACCCTCTCAAACTGGGAACAGTCCCATTGTGGGTGTTTCCTAACATTCTTTCAATCCTTCAGGATATTTTCATTGTCCTAGTTTACCTCAGCCATTGTTTTTCTGGCCAAATAGCTTCATCTCTAAAAAAAGCACAGATTTTTCTATAGGGATCAGGAGTTTATTTGGGAACATGAAAGATATTTGGGATACATGAAAGGTACCTTGCTTTACAGCTCACAGGCTTTTCATTTCATATATTTATTTCAAAGTAACCTAAGTAAAATAAAAATCGAGGAAGCTTGCAGTCTGGTGGGCACTGGAAAGATGGTGGTGGAATAATGGAGTACCTGAGCAAACTTTAGGGATTTGTGAGAATGGATGCAGACAACATATAATGTTCTGTGAAAATGTCCTTGAAAGACAGAAGGAGGAGGAAGAACTACAGAGGAGGCAACAGTCAGAGAAGAGGCAGCTGAGCCTGCAGAAAGAATGGGGGCGTGGCTAATGTCTCGAAAAGGATCTTCCCTAATTTCTTGAACAGCATTGTAGAGGCAAGCAGAGAAATTAATAATACCTAATACATTCAAACTTGCACGACTCAGTTACTGTACTCATGGTTGGTGCTTCTAGTCTGGAGTTTGAAGGGGCTGACACAGCCTCTTTGACTGCCTTTTTCCTCTGAGAATATCAGTGGAACTGGGAAAGAAGATTACAATAGAAGAACAGTGAAAGGAAACTCAGTGTTCATACTTGCAACCTTTTACAGCTGAATTTCATGTCATGACATGTCATTTAAACAATCCATGAATCTGTGACATCTGCTTTTTCCTCCCCCTCCCCCAATATAGTTCAGAGCTATATTAACAGCTCTGTACTAAATCTTAAATTTGTTGAACTACTGCATTGTTCATTGAATAAACAGTAATTACTGATGTGATATTGGACACTAAGCCATATACCATGATTTTTTTTTCTTCCATTCAATTCTTGGTTACTGCCTGGACAAGTCCCTGCCATTTTCTTGGCAAGGTTTTTTCAGAAGCAATTTGCCATTGCTTCCTTCCTAGGGCTGAGAGAAAGTAACTAGCCCAAGGTCAACAACTCAACATGATATGCCAACTTAATAAATGGCTTCACATTTACATACTATTAAATGTGTTTAAGGGTAAAAAAAGGAAACATAGCCCTCAAAAGCAGCAAAATAGCTGCCATTGTGCTAAGCCAAAATAAAACAACCCATATCCTGATTTAGCATGTTATGTGAAGCAAGCTTGTGTTCATTTTACCAAGCTTCATATATATTTGCACCAGATCTTAGAATTGGCACTTGGTGAATATCTTGTTGAGAAGATGACAGATCAGGGGGTTCATGATTCATAACTCTGATACTTTCACTCTGTGTGTTAGTCCTCTCATAATTAAAAGGATAGAAGGATGAGACTTATTGGATGATTAGAACGTTTCTTTGGGAGATGTTCACAGCCTTTATGCCCACAGACATAAAGAAAATTAGATGATTAAATGCAAAATATTAAAGAGCTTGAGTGAATCCTGAAGCTGTGATCATCGTCAATCTGTATTATATCATTACAATGAAGTAACTAACTTATTAATATTTAAGGTTTTTTTTTAGTTTTTTAAAAATCTTTTCAGGTGCTTATAACATGAAAAATCATTTTAAAGTTTATTGGCCCAGGATATAATTTTTTTGCTGGGAAACAAACTGAATATTTTAGGGTCCTACAGATCAAATGTGTTCATTTAAAGTATGGTTGGTTAACTAATGCATGCCAGCTGCCACTGATTTCCAGGTATTAAATTAAAAGTGAAATTAGTGGCTTAAAAATTAGAAAAAGGAGAGAAGTGGGTAAGGTTTGAGGAAAGAAACTTTTTGGGTGTGATGTTTTTCTCTCGATGCACCCACATTCTTCTTGCTTAACCTATTGCTTAGATTTGCTTATTCAAACCCTGATATACAACAAGGTCACATGGCGTAATAAGATTGGGACTGGGTTAGGGACTTCTGTCCTCATTGTGAGCTATGTTAGGGGGAGATGCACGAAGGGAGGCTCAGCCAATCTCATTGTACATATGTTGTACTCTGACAATAAAGGTAATAATAATAATAATCATACTACCTCATAGTATTTGATGATAGGGCCTTTTTCATTGGCCATGGAGCAGTTCCTGTTCTAATCAGTTCTGAGGAAAGTCATATTGTCAGTTGTGTTTATCCAGGAGATTTGGACTTTGCCACATCCTTCTGTATCTTATTCTATTTACTCTGTTTAGTTACAATTATCCTTCTGTATCTTACTCTATATAGTCCAGTGAACGTTGAGTGTTACATTGAGATCAATCAAAAAAATTCATCTCTGATTTAGTATCATGTCCACAAGATATTGCAAGCATTTTATATAGTAGAAAAAAGCTGTGTCAACTTGTTTTTAGATATCACTTAGAAAATGTTTAAACGATTGGGATATTTGTTTAAGATCAGGCAGCTAATCAGAGGTCAAATGACTTAAAAATAAGAATGAACATTCCTGCATAGTTAGGACTCTGTTGGGGCTTATTTTTCTGAGTGTTGCCATTGTGTAAATATCAGTTTGTGATATAATCCTGTCAGAGTTATATACTGGTAAGTATCAGTGATTTCCAGCAGTTTAGATTATGCATTCTTCCTACAAAAATTACTAAACGTAGATGGGTTTGTCCAAAGTTATTATCTTCAAATGCAAATAAGTGGTTAGAATTTAAAATAAATCCAAACATATTCAAAATGTCAAGAAAGTATATATTAATAAGTTACATAATTTATGGGAGCACCAGTCAATTATGGATAAAAATATATTTGAAAATAAACTTAAAGAGTACATTGAAGACAAACAGGAAAAGCTAGGTGGACACCCACTCATATCTAAGTGTTTTGAAACAAGAGAGAAGCTGTGTTTTTTGTATATAAACTACATTTTTCTCAAAGCTATTTTGAAAAGAAACTGTTAAACTTTGAAATATATGTGAAATACATTTTCAGGTATTTGGTGAGTATGAAATGTTTGGATTGGCAGAAAAGTTTATATTTGTCATTGAAGCACATTTTTAATCTTCTCTCAGGCATTCATAATAAATGTAGTTTTATTATGAATATATAAACATTGGTACCATTTCTCCCCTTCAGTTATCATGAGTCACTTAGGATTAATTAGCTACTCTAACATCTAGCATAGACTAAGGCATCAAGAAAAGCACTATAGGGCAAACATTTATTTGTTTTCCTTCACTGTAGACTTTATTATTTTTTGTTACTTTAGAATAAGGGCCAGCTATATTCTGAATACATTTTTAATATGTAGCCAAAGAAAGGTATTCAGAGTCAGAATACAAAATAGGAGTATAATTTCTGACAGTTTCTAAACTTGACACATGTTATTTTAGTGCTTTTAATATGCATGCTTCTAGTTATGTTGGTTTAATTATTTCTCGGATATGCATCTAAGCTCATAGTAAAATGTTTTCGATGAATAATGCTTATCATATAGTTTATACAACAAAAGAGAAAAGTCTAATCCTTCATCAGCAAACCATATTTATTTGATTCCCTTTCAATCAAAAACAGTTGGAATTTCACTTTTAATTGTTTGAAAGAAGGATTAGATAGTAAAATCCACTCTCTATTCCATTTTCTTATCAAGCAGTCAATAGGTCACATTCCAGATTTTCAAGAAAGGTTAGGATAGTTTCAAAAATTACCTGGCAATGTATCAAAATAATTATTTCTTTCTTTCTCCCATTCAATGATCAACTTATCCCTTCAGTAAAAAAATATACAAGGACATGTTTGATCTTGCAAATGACAGTGGAGTCTTCTTTTTGTAGAGAAAGTGACAAAAATGGCCACAAATATCAAAATATATTCTGTGAGAGCAAGAGATGTTAGTGTTTTATGTTACATCTAAATTGCTAAGAAAGAATTAAATGCATGTGTTTCAGTTCATAAAATGGAAATGTCTCCCTTCAAGGTGTTCCCTATTTCACTGTTGAGCCAAAAGACCAGTCAGTTATCCCTGGTAGGCCTTTCCAGATGGCTTGTGCTGCAGTAGGACCACCTGAGCCAGTGACAATTGTCTGGTGGATGGGTGATTCTAGGCTTGGACATCCAGACATCTCTCCCTCCATTCTAAATGTGCCAGGTAAGTCTTCTTTCTATGATAAATAAAAACTATTTATAAAGGAATAGGGTGACTAATGGGGCAAAGGTATAAATAACACTAATAGTTTCTGACACAATGTAAAATTGTGTCTCAAGTGTGTTAAAAAGAGAAAAAACGAACGAGAACCCAATATAGAATTGAATTCACCTAAGGGAAAAAGGGGTTTCTAAAATTTCTCAGTGGCAAGTTGGTAATTCAAAAACAAAGATGCATTTCTCTCTCCCCAATCCCAGTATTTTGTTGGAAAGATGTTTATTGTTTGTAATTACTTATATGAATATTTTTATTTTCTATCAAATATCAAAAGCCTACTATGTGCACCAGTTTGTAGTGGGTGAAAGAAAACACTTGAATCTACAACTAGGGAGATTAAACAATTATCACCAAGATGGAACTATGAGATTTTCAAGACAAATTTAAAGATATATATGTAGTGAACATTGCTTCTTCCCACCCCACTTTCTTCCTGGTCTATTATTATTTCCTTTTAGCATTTCTGTGCTCTTCTCTGTTGAAGCCAGGGTTTTTTCCCTTTCTTATAAACCTTTGTTCTTGTATGCCTAAGGAACTATAACTTTTTATAATGTTTTACCAGATTCATCTGATCCTTTTCACTTCCTCCTTAGTGTTTGTGCAGAACAGGCATTAAATGAAACAGGACAGGTTAGGGCTTAGTTAAGGGCTTTCCAACCACATATATACCTATCTGAGGAAGCAGTATTTCCTTTCAGTTTTAAGATAAATATCAACAAGAAATTCTCCTTTGCAGGTCCTCCTATTTTTTCTTAAATCTAGAATGTATTTTATTTGTTCCTAAACATAAGACAAATATTTTCAGTGATTAAATTGATTTATATTAAAAAGTTGATTACCCTTTCAGGGTACAGTCTGGCTTTTCTGTGTTTATATCTGCCTATACCTAGAAGACATTGGGAACATGCTGAGTATTGTATGAAAGAGCAACAAGAATGTTTTCATTGTTTGATCAGCAAAATAGGCAACTTTGAGGTTTCATAAGAAGGCTTTAAAACTTGTTGACATCTCTTCATTCACCTTTTGATCTACTTCTGCTTGTTAACTTCAGTTTTAATGAAGATAACATAAAGATTGCTCCAGACAAGTTTTGACAGAACACCATGCTTTCCTGAAAGGCAGCCTCATCTATAGTTCAGACTTAAGCATATTTTGAAAAGAGTCCTACAAGGCACGTTGAAGACGGGATTAAAAACCCCAGAGACCAGTTTTCACAGATGTATTTTCCTCAAAGCTCCCCACTTCCAGTTTTCTAAGTAATGGGAACTTGGTGGTATCAATTGCGTTTCTTTCATAAGCAATACCACAAGTAATTACAAAAACAAAACGAAAAATATGTGCAGCGGGGCAAATTGGACATTGAAAAGTAAGTTTATAAACTCATTCAGAATCTCATTGCTCCTCTAAATCTTCCACAGGGAGCTTAAAAATACATTCTCCTAGTCACAATAGTTCTGTGCTTCCAATCAGCAAGATGTCAACAATACTAGCAGAGTCAACAATTTCCTGGGGGAAATTGTTCATTAAGCTCCAGTCAGAGGCCTTGCTTCTTATCATTGGGTGCGTTAAGGGACAAAATAAACATTCCAAGAAACATTCCCTTTCTGGCTGGCTGGCCTTCCATCCCATTGTTATACCATAAATAATTGTAGGAACGGTAAAGCTAATTGTTACTTATCAGAAACATCCTGTTTGGATAACCTCTTTCCAGTGATTTATTCTGAAGAAGAGAAGGCCCTTTATTGAAGGTCGAGGCTATTGGCCCTGGACTCATTGGACTTAGAACTTCCCAGCTTCTGGGTTCAGTAGGCATCCCATGTTCTTGGTGATCTTTATTATAGTAATCTGTTCACATATAATACTAAGCTGTCATGTAGGTTGTTTTGGTTTTCCAAATTTTACTAATGGAATTTGTAAATCATGGTTAATGGTTAGGATGGGGAAGGGAGTTACAGTATGTAAGGGATTGATTGTTTGTACCTGCCCCACCCAGTGTGACAGGAGGGGCACACTCTGGATCTCCTCAACTAAAAAATGGCATAACCCTAACCCTAATCTTGCCCTCTGGAACACCATAGGTTAAATTGTTTCTAACCCTGCTGGCCTTTCTCAAAGCATTGAAGACCCAGGTATGTTCCAGGGTTTGGGGATTAGATGGTCTGTGAGATGTGATGTTTTTGTTCTATTAAGTTCTTATGGGGTTTGTTCTCAACACTCATTGGTATTTTTTAGATATCTTGTTGATACAGTATTTGCATTGTTTTAATGTTTTATTAGGCTGCAGTTTTAAATTGATTTAACATACATACATACATACATACATACATACATACTGCAGGTTTTTGCGTGTTCGGGTCTTTTCCCATGTAAGATTGAGAGTATCTTGGTGATGTTTTAAAAAGGTACCATTCGCCATCTTCAGGCTGGTGCTTTTGGCTTCATGTTTGTGTGAGCAAAGCGTGATCAGAGCTGCTGTCTGTCTATAAATGTATACATACATACTGTATATACATGTACAGGTCTACCTGTAAATTACCTAGCAATTCTACCAACCTATGACACGGAGGGATCATTTTACAAGATTTTCCTACTACAGGAAATTTGTTTATGGGATTAGATGAAACTTCCTTTAAATAAGTTTCAGATTGCTCAAGCATGATTACTTGGATTTTTACAAGCTCAAAATGAAGTGGAAATTCCATTTTGATTTGAAAGCAGAGTTGATTTTGTTTTTTATGCTCCTATTTTGGCCTATTCTGGATAGAAAAAAAAATACTTCCTTTACATGAGCATGCAATATTCTGCTCTCTAGATAAAGAATAACATTCGGCCAAAATGTAGATGAAAACGTAATTTCGAAAGGAAGAGGAAAGGCAGAAGTTTGTCTTTCTTCACAGGGTGTGCAGACAATGGCTCTGAAGAGCTAGTGTGGTGCTTCTAGTTGAAAGCTTTTCATTCTGCTGCTTTTATTTCTGGAGTCTAATAGTAAAGCCAACATATATTCCCAGATATATAGTCATCATTCATGTGCACACTTGGTGAAACTAAATTTGCAAAATTTAGGAAGGAAACAGTAACTTATTAAACTATGTTTGTGATCCCTTTCCTGGAGACTGCTATAAGCTTGCCTTTGAAACAGCTTATTCACTTCACTTCACTGGAACAGCCAGTCTCCCTTCTTCCCCGCCCCCTCAAAAAGTACAGTGTCCTCCCTTTGGGATTTCCAAAAAACTATTAAAACCTGGCTTTGGACCCAGGGCTGGGATTCGTCTATTGGTGCATTTTGGGGGGCCATGTTGTGATTTGTGTCTTTTTTTTTTAAAGATCATTTTAGTCCAGTCTGTCTGTGCAGGTTTATGTTTGAATTCTTTTATCGAGTTTTTTTGTTTTTTTTATGCCACCCAGACTCTTTTGGAATTGGATGACCATAACCCATAAATAAATAATAAATACACCAACATGTACACAAAACAGCCATGTAATTTGGGATCAGCTTTCAGTTCAGTCTTTTGAGTTGCATAGGTAAAATCTGAGCCATGTGTGAAACTGTAAAATAGTACCTTAAGGATTATTAAATATTTAGATTGTTTTCTGGTTTTTTTAAGTATTCTTTTTTCTTGACTGATTTCTAGGTATTAATCAAAGCACAGTTTTCTCCTGTGAAGCCCATAACATAAAGGGATTATCTTCATCTCGGACGGCCATTGTACAGATTAAAGGTGAGAAACCATTTCCTATCTTTTCACAAATGGAAACATAGAAGGAGGTGCATTCTCTCACAGGAAAAGGGAAATAGTCTAAAGTAAGCTACAGTAATTTTTTGTCTCCACGTTTTAAAGCTGCTACACACAACCCTCACACATGACTTCTTATCTGATTCTCCATGCTCTTAACAGATTAAATAAAATTCACAACAAAATAGTCACTATTTTTTTTTATGCAGGCCCATCCCTTTAGCAGGAAAATTTGCTAATAAAAATAACCACTAGTAACTCAAGAAGGGAATGAGATACAAGGGAACAAACAGTATCGAAGGTCTTTTTAGGAGAAAAAAACATCAGGTACAAAAATATGAGAAGATGGAATGAGCCAGAATGTCACAGCATAAAGTCCAGTCTTTTGTTCTTGTGCCATGACATTATATATAGAAAGTCAATTATGTGGTTCGTGACATGACAGTGCAATGCATGCTTCATCATTAGTCTCTCTTATGGATGCCTGTGATCATGACATTGTCTACAATGTGTAAATGAGAACAGCATCCTTTTTGGCAGGCATACTGTAGATTTGGTATCTTGGCAGCCAAAGTGTCTCCCATCATCCTTTTGCTCAAATGAACTGGCTTTTCATGAGCTATTGAAAGCAGAACGGTACAGACCACTGCTTGGAACAATTACATTTCAGGAAAACATTGCTTTTATATCGTTCTATACTTCGTAGCACTAAATGTTCATTTAAAGCATAACAATAGTTTGCTTCTAAAGTAATTTTTTTTCTCCTCCCACAATTTGCTCTCTTATTTAACAAGAAACTAAACGTGTAGGTTAAGAATAATTAATACTTTTGTAGGGCAAGGATATATAATTGGGGCTTGATTGGCTGCATTCCTTGTTGTGCAAAATAGAATATATGAGTATATTGTTCTGAATGAGTTGAATTAATGAGAAGAGTGGATTTTTTTTCCTTTTTAAAAATAGTCTTATTGAAGTTTTTAATTAACAGAAGCTAAATTAGAAGAAAAAAAGTTCAGAAGGTTCAGGGAAAAAGAAAAGAAAAGAAAAAGGCACCATAGATAAGAATAAAGAAGAAGTTTCCAACCTTCATCACACTGAGCATAAGCTGATTGATTAACTTTTCACCCTTTTTAATGTTACACATAAAATACACTGTTCTCTCCATAACCTAACTTTTATCTATATGCAGTCCATAAATTGACTTTTTAATCTTAGTTCAGCAAATAGTTCATCATGAGTTAATATAAATATCAGACAAATAGCTTATCTCTGGTCAAATAGTGCAACTTTATATTCTTTCTTTTTGCTCTACTCAATATTGACCTTTAAATCATTCCTACAGCATCACAGGACTTAAGCTTTCATCATTCTTTGGCATTTGAAAAGAATCTTCAAAGCTTTTACCAACCTACTTTGTAAATCCCCAAAAAGGCATTGTCCAAAATTTCCGGCTGCAACTGTCCCATGTCCCCCCTAGGTGTGTGTATGTGTGTGTATCAGATTTCAGGCACTTGACACCTGGCTTGCATTTACAACTGGTTGCAGTTCCTGTGGTTATGTGACTACGATTTGCAACATTTTTTTGGTTTCTGCTATTTTTTTTTTTTTGTCAGAAAGTGGCAAAAACCACCTATTCGAGAGAATGGATTTATTTGCTTAACAATCACATGATTTATGTAACTACTGCAGTGACTGGTTTTTGACCATCGTAAATATAGTCATAAAATATACTCAAGACAGGTGTTGACCCCCTTAGCAACTACAATGACTTGGGATCAAAATTCCCAGTTCAGTTGAGGATGTTAAGTGAGGGTTACCCATAGTGATTTTTCATCCATCTTGCATTATGCTGGTATATTGTACCTTTTGTTAAGGCCACGCTGGAAGTCAAATACAGAACTGTTGAGTTGAAAAGGGCAGGTATAAAGTGACACTTAAGAAAGAAAGTACTGAGGTTTGCCGATAGTTCAGTAATTTGTTTAGGTTTTCTTGGTTTATAATGATCTGCCAACCAAGCCATTGCTAGTTAATGCTGTGCCAGCTCAAGGGTATAGGATGCTCCTTGGACTACATTTCACCAGTGCAAAGCTTTACATTTATAGAATGATTTGGAAGGAGGGATGTTTGGCGCTGTAGGCCAGTGTTGATCTGAACTGGCTTATTGTTATATTGGGGTGGGCATTGTCTTCTAGATCAAGAGCTGGAATTCAGCTTCTCAACCTTGACTATGTATCAGAATGGTCAATCAAATAGCAACTTCAAATCTCAACAAATAAATGCTCTGTCTTACATATTGGCAAAAAAAATCAGAAAATAAAATACAAGCTAAATAGTCAAGACCTTGTTGAGGATCCAAACTCTGTCAAAGACCTTGGAGTACTCATCTCTAATCATCTAAGTGCTAGAGCCCACTGTAACTACATAGCCAAAAAGGCATTAAGAGTTGTTAATCTAATCCTCCGTAGCTTCTTCTCTGGTAATATCACACTACTAACTAGAGCATACAAAACATTTGCTAGACCTATACTTGAATGCAGCTCATCAGTCTGGAACCCATATCATGTATCTGATATTAACACAATTGAGAAAGTCCAGAAATATTTCACAAGAAGAGTTCTCCACTCCTCTACTCATTGCAGAATACCTTACGCCACCAGACTTGAAACTCTAGACCTAGAAAACCTAGAACTAAGCCGCCTAGGGTCCGATCTAAATATAGTATATAAAATCATACATTGCAATGTCCTACCTGCAAATGAATACTTCAGCTTCAATCATAACAATACAAGAGCACACAATAGATACAAACTCAAGGTTAACCGCACCAAACTTGATTGCAGAAAATACAACTTCAGCAACAGAGTGGTCAATGTTTGGAATACTCTACCTGACTCTGTGGTTTCTTCCCCAAACCCCCAAAACTTTAACCTTAGACTGTCTACTATTGACCTCACCATTTCCTAAGAGGTCTGTAGGGGGCATGGTTAAGCGCACCAATCGTGCCTACTGTCCCTGTCCTATTGTTTCTTTTTATTTTTCTTATAAATATCTATCTCATGTATTCAAAACTACGTTTATTCTTATACCTGTATCTTGTAAGCGATTGACAAATCAAATACATAAATAAAACCTAGCAGGGTGCTAAAAGCGTTATGGTGTAATAATGGCATAAACTGAAAAGATGGCCCTGAAAGAAATGAGCAATTTTCTGCTCTGCTCTGCAGATAGATGGGCATCAGAGTGAGAATGAGAGCATTTTTCCTCACAGAAGAAGTGTGGATCCAAATCTGCTACTGAAAATCAGTCATTTTTCTGCTGAATTTCAGTACTGAAGTTGCGGGGTGTCCTTAGAGCTGTGTCATACAGTCTGGGATAAGTTCAAAACAGGTCATTAGATGGTTTCCAACAAATCACAGCGAGGGGGGTGGAAATCTTGATTTTATTTATAGATGCCACTTTCGAATTGATTTGGCCCACTCTAACAGTGGGAAAAAATTTCCAACTTCTTCAAACTGTGGTCTGATCCAGGGGGGATATTATTTAATTCTTTAACTCTTCCATTCTTAACAAAAAAAACCGCACTGTCTTTGTTTGGACGCAATAGACTGCCAACAAGGATTGGAACTGAGTCCCCTCTTCCTAATGGTGACCAAAAATAAGGCTTCTAAGATTTGGGGCTTTGGAAAGATGAGGAGAAGCTAAATATAGCTTTTTAGCTTGGATTGAATTTTCAGATGTAATTAGAACTCTTTGGGTAAGATATTTGGAAGCACTGGAAGTAAACAAAGTATGAGGAATTTCTGCTCTCGAAACTAATGGCAAGCAAATTACTAGGCAAGATTGAAAGGTAAGAGGAAGCGTTTGCCAAGCAAGGAGTGGGAGTTGGTTTCAAGAATCAGTGGCAACATGAATGGAACCATTGAGCCATGAGTGGGAACAGGAGATGACGGGAGCAGTGAAGGGGTGGATCTGAGAGAACATATGGAGAGTGAGGAGCTTGAGAGTAAACGAGAGGAAAATGGGCCAGAACAAGAGAAGTGAGAGGCAACCAGCTTGAATTTATATTTAAAAAGACAACAAATCAAGGAAGAAATTGGAAATGGTTTTCTCAAACCAGCAGTGTCATCAAAATCTTTACCCTTTTTATTTCTAGTGTTTACAAAAAAAATGTGTTATGATTAGGCAACCGGTCCTATGCGTTCCCACTTTCTTTTCCTGTTCATTGATAGTTCCTTGTACTTTCTCATATTCCTTTCAGACATGTGCTTTATTATGAGACGCATCCAAATTGTGACTTCCTTTCATTTCAAATTTATCCTGTCTTCCTATATACTTTTAATGAAATATTGCCAGTGAATGTCATGATGACAACAGTGATAAAGTACAAATGAAAAAAGAAAAAGAAATTAATCCGAGAATACTTATGGAAAGAGCATGCCTGGAGCTTTTTCATAGAAAACTGAATTGGAAAGATGTATTCTTTCCTGGCATCGTTTGCAATGTAATTAGCAAGGAGATGTAGCAGTTTTTCGTCGATTGTCCAGGATGATTTAAATCAGGGGTGTCAAACTCAATTTTATTGAGGGACGCATCAGAATTGTGTTTGGGGGGGCAAGGGGCATGGCCAGCTTGACGTCACTCATGTCGGGGGCGCCTGTGGTGGCCCAAGCACTCTGCCAGCGAAAACAGGATCCTGAGCTCCATTTTTGGCTGTGCTGGCCTCCTGTAACCCTCTTCCAGAGTAAACAGAGCTCTGTTTTTACTGGCAGAGGCACTGCGGCCCAGGCTGCTGTTTTTAGTGGGCCAGATCTAAGCACCCTGTGAGTTTGACATCCCTGATCTAAATCAAAAGGGTCCTAGAGGGATGGATCATTCCTTGAAGTTGCCAGTTTCTGTTTGGTTCTGTGTTGCTGGCTTTTGTATTCATAAGATCCATAGGTAACCTGTGGAAGTAGTATCTGCAATATTCAGTGTGTAGTGTGACTAACGTGTAGAAGACATTAAATTTTTGTAATGTCATATTTATATACAGCAGAGACGAATAAAATAAGAGCAAAGAATTATATACTATAGCAGAAATGAATAAAATAAGAGCAAGGAATTATATACTATATTTATATACAGGAGAAACGAATAAAATAAGAGCAAAGAATTATATACTCTGTATATCTTGCCCCTGACATCACATATCTAGTCTCCTCTGTGCATTATCTGCAGATGTGTAAGAGAAACAGTTCCTGAAGAGTGGTTTCTCTTCTGAAGTATTCAGATATTGAGTAATAGTGTAATTAAAAACACATGATATTGGGGAGTGCCTGCCATATGCATATGTAACACATGAATAAAGTTGGTTCAGGATGTGGAAATTCTGAAGTAGTGCAAAGGGTTGGGTGTAGACTTTTTACCCATTAATATGATTTGTTTCCTAATTACCAATTAATGTAAGTCTCTGGGCACTTGCCAAAACTGCTCAATAATACATAAAACAACAAAGAAGAGAAATAGATTACAAATTCAGAAATCAAACTGTAAAATGTAAATTATTTTAAAGCCCGTAATCACTAATGATACAATGGAATAATAATTAAAAAAAACATTCAATTGTTTTGAAAAAGGCTATAAAATAAACACAAGAACAAATTTCTCTAGTAAATCAGGTTTATTATTGGGTGCTATGTCAAAAGATCTTCTCACTTAATTGGAGAGGGGAGAGAGGGTATTATGCAAGCTAATTTGGAGAGTATAGAAATTTGGGCAGGAAAATATGGAAAAGGTCAAACTTCTTCCATATAATAGTACTGATGCATGCACATAGAAGCTTCAGTTGATGCCAGATTTTTTTTTATACAACCTTGAAAATATTGGAATGACAGTAATTGAACTTGCCAAACAACTATGACTCATAATCAGGAGTAGTGGTGGGATTCAAAAGCTTTTACTACCGGTTCTGTGGGCATGGCTTGGTGGGCGTGGCCATGTGCCTGGGTGGGCGTGGCTTTTTTGCAGCCCCCACCTGTTTGGGGGAACTTCTTAGCCACAGAGAAGCCTCTGGGGTGGGCGCTTTTTGCTCCCCTAAGGCTCCTCTGGGGCTCAGGAAGAAAAGGAACAGAGCATGGGAGGGGCACACAGCACTGCTCCAAACTCCATTTTTGGGACCTTGCTGGCCTCAGAAGAGCCTCGGGGGGGGAGTGTTTTTGCTCCCCTAAGGCTCCTCTGAGGCTCTGGAAGGCAAAAAAAGGAGGGGGGCTGAGCTCCTCCCTCCATTTTTTGCCTTCCTGGGCCTCAGCAAGGGGAGTCCTGGCACAGCTATCTTATCTACAGCTGATTATCAGGAGTGGGGAAAGAAATACCTTAGGCGAATAAGGGGCAGGCGGCCGGGGTGAGTGAGCATCGGGTGGGAGGGTGACCGGGTGGGGGTTGTGGCCAGCCAGAACTTACTACCTGTTCGGTGACCCACCTCAAATTCTTGCTACTGGTTCACCTGATCTGGTGCGAACTGGCTGAATACCACCGCTGATCTAATGAATGAGAGTTGCTTGCCTGCACCATCAATGATTCCAATGACTTCAGCAGCAATTGCATCCCTTTCTATGTTTGCTGAGGCTAAGGGAAAATGACGCTGTTCTCACATTGGGTGATGTATCACTCAGATGAATCTCATTATATACCCAGAATTTTTGCAAGCCTCAGAATGAGGTAGAAGTTTTAAAAGGGTTGATGATCTCAATTATCTCAACAGAATAAACGTAAATGGATGTGTGGTCAAGAATCATTTGTTCATCAACAAAGATTTTAAAATGTCCCATTTTACATTTTCACAGAACATTTTTATAAAAATTGAATAGGCTTTTCTGAATTTCTGTAGATTTTCCGTTAATCCTGTTTTTTTCCAATGTATTCCAATATTTCAGTAATGGCAGCTACTTTGCTGTAGTGGTTAAGTCCCTCAGATTAGGAACTGGGAGATGTGAGTGCTAGGCCCACCTTAGGCATAAAGTCAGCTGGGTGACTTTGGGCCAGTCACTTTTTTTCAGCCCTAGGAAGGAGACAATGGCAAGCCAGCCAAGATTTGCCAAGAAAACTGCAGGGATTACACACTACACACCAGTGACACTCCAAGTTGGACTACAACCTAATGGAAGAAATTTAAAAGAACATTTGTTTGTGTATGTGTGTGTGTGTGTGTGTGTATCAGTAATATTATAGGAGACACTTGCAAGTATGACATAGGGGGTAGTACTATGCCTGAAAAAAGAAGGTATTATTCGAAAGTTTAAGATATGTCAGACTACTAACCAGGGGTGCGATCCTACCAGTTCGCACCTATTTGCTAGAACCAGATGTTAACATTCTAAGCAGTTTGGAGAACCAGTTGTTAGAAGAAATTACTGGCCTAATCCTGTAAGGAAGGCAGGAAGGAAACATTCTGGTGTTGCTTACAGAAACTGACTCTCCGTTGACCCTTATTACATTCTTGGCAGGACTAGACTTCCTGCCTCAGGAACTTCTCTGGAGTTTTTTTCCCCTCCTTTGTGGGTACTTTGCTTGTATGGAGTGACCATTTAAAGTTACAGTGGCACTGAAAAAGTGACTTATGACCATTTTTCACATTTACAACTGTTGCAGCATCCCCAAAGTCACGAGAGGCCAGGCGAGAGATGCGTGCCTCGATGTGAGTGATATTGAGTTGGCCACACCCATCCAATAACATGACCACAAAGCCATGTCCACCCAGTCACATGACTACCAAGCCACACCCACCAGCTTAGCCATGCCCACAGAACCGATTGTTAAAAATTTTGAATCCTACCCCTGCTACTAACACTTGACTCTCAGATTCCATAACAGAATGTGTTTGAAAGCAACAAATGTTCCTTATTTTCTCTGTCTGTTTAACCATCAACTCGGAAAAAAAGATATGCAGTGTTAATCAGGATTTATAATGTCATGAGCAGGCTACCTCTGTTCATTCATAGCTCAATTAGCACCTCTCAGGGATCTTGTCCAAATTCCCCAGACTGTAGCACTTGCACATTTCTATGTAAATAACCGCTCAGTTTTGCATATGTTAAAAATCTTCCTTCTGTTTCAGCAATCCCTTTTCCACCTCTCAATGTGACAGTCACTAAGATCACCAGCAACAATGCCAGTGTCACTTGGCAACCTGGATTCGATGGCCTTTCCCCCCTACACGCTTGTACGGTACAGGTACGAAATGATTACATATATGTCCTTCTCCAAACTAAACTGTTCAACGTTTTTGCACGACCAGAACTTGTTTTCCAATTTGAGCTTCCACTGTTCTAAACAATGGAGCTTTATAAATCCCCATTACTTAATCTAATGTTATTTGTTTGACTTTGTCACAAGCAGCAGACTAGGGAAAAAGTTAATCTGCATTCAAGCAGGCCTCTAATTCTGTGTCCACACCTTGATAAACTGCTAAGGATCAGAATGAAGTTATTGTGGGGAAAATAGGAGGAGGAAAGAGTATTAGGTATGTTAGCCACCTTGAATTATCTATGGAAATAATAAAGGTGGATAAAAATATCTAAAGGAGAAATAGAGGGTGGGAGAGAGAGACAGGGAGTGAGAGGGAGAGAAGGAGAGGGAGGGAGAGTGGTGAGGAGACCATAAAATCTTGTTCAGAAGATTCCAGTTTGAGCTTCTTCAGTGACAGACCGAAACCTCGTCTCTGCGAGGCTTCAATCCGTGCTCGCCGCTGGAGCGCCCCGAGCCGGCTGGTTTCAGGGCTAAGCCACCCCGTAGAGGTGGTGAAGAAGGGGGAGACTGCCTGCAGGGTTGAGGAGAGCCACATCTCTCCTCCCCAGCTGGCCATTACTCCCTTTCCCAAAGGCGGTTGCAGCAGTGGTTAGAAATGGCCACCACAAAGAAGAACTCGACCAGAAAAGAATGTGCAGGAGGAAGATAAGAAGAGAAAGTTTTGGTTGACCAGGTCAAACAGCAAAAGCAACAAATAAGGTACCCTGGAATTTAAATTTAATAACATTGTTCCCAAAGAAGATTTTGAAGCTGCGAAGGAGAGAGAGAAGGGAAAGGATTAGGTTTTTTTTTTCTTCCCTTCCTTATACTGACAGCTAAGAGACTTAAGCAAGAAATTGAAAAAAATACACTTTGACATTAATAGGCATCTAAGCTGAAAATAAAAGTCAAAGGGATAATAAAGATTTCTGGATATTTAAAAGTTTTTAAAAGCAGGAAAGGAGAAAAAAAAAGAATAAAAGGGCAGGATCTGGAAAAATGGAGGAGACTTGCCTGGAACTAAGGAATGGAACTGTAACTAAAAGGAACTTACAGTGAAATGTCAACAAGATTCCTCAAAGATACATCTTAATTGAAACTTGGTAACAAAATAATAGAACCCCAGGAAGAGAAAGTGGAAAAAAGAAGCAGAAAGAAACAGCCTTGGATTATTTGGATTACTTGGTGATTTTTGGTTTTTGCATCTGGATGGCTAAAATTAACCGGGTGGTTGTTTAAAAGTCTTTAAAATGGTATCACTGTTTGAAGAACTGAAAATGGAACTTAAAAAATGGAAAGAAGATGCACAAGAAGGGAGAGGTTCTTTTGGCTTCGTATTTCAATTCGTAGAAATGGAGATCTGGAACTATGAGAAACAACAAGAAACGCTTGCAGAACAAGAAGATTGGGACAAAGAAGAAGCCATCTTTAATGATCAAATAATTTTAAGTGGGGGGGGGAGAAAAGGGGGGAAAAGAGAGTGAAAGGTTTAAGACTAGAAAAAAACAACCAAAAAGAAGAAGAATAATTTGAAAGATAAGTATAATATTAGAAAGCAACAGAAGAGGGGATTACAGATGAGAGAGTTAGAAGTAGAGAGACGAGGGGGTAAAAAGGGGAGGGAGAAGAGGGGGAAGAAGGCAAGGAAAAGAAGTTGTAAAAGACAGAAACAAGAAATGGAGAAACAGGGAAAAGATATAAGGATTGTAACCATAAGCTTGTTTAGAGATAATGGGTGAAAATTTAATTGTAAAAGGGATTCTGCAAAGGTACATAAGATAGCATTGTTATATTATAAACAGAAATAATTTTAGAAAATATGATTAAAATGATGGACAAAATATTTACTGTAATGTAGTTGAATGTTTGGTAATAAATAAATGAATTAAAATGATTGAGAGAATTAAATGGGAACATTTTTAATTATTAGTAATGATTTATAAAAATATAAGTGAGAAATATGGAAAAAAAAGAATTAACTATGGAAAGTTTATAAGTGTTCCCAAGGAAGTATGATATTTAATTGAAAAGAAATGTTAAAGATGTTAAGATTTTAATGAATATTAATGATAGAATTGAATTGGATTGGAATGTGTGCTCTCTCTCTCTCTCTCTCTCTATATATATATATATAATTTTTTCTTTTTAAGAATATAGTGTCTATTTTAAGAATGTACCAAGCAGAATTCTATTGGAAGTTATGTATTACATTGAATGGTATAATCTTAAAGGTATACATTGAAGCTTAAATAAGAGTTTGAATGGATAAAATTAAAAGATACAAAGGTGTCATACTCCAATTGGTAACCACAGGGAAAATTTGTTTAATAAGAAAAGATAATATGAAATTGAAACAGGACAGACAAAAGTATAAATATAATGATTTGATTGAGATGAGATAATTAAAATAAAGTTGAGAAAATTAAAAGAGGGGAAAAACTATGTAGAAAATATAAAACGGTAATAAGATATGGAATAGAATATAAAAATGAGCATGAAATTGAGTTTGGTGTCTGTATGAAGAAGTGATAACCTGGGACCATGCTATTTTCAAAAAAGATGTTTTATTTGTATTTTGTTTTTGTGAAAACCCAAATAAAACTTTCAAAAAAAAAATCTTGTTCAGAAGTGTGGACTGTGAGCCAAATTGGAATTGGTATATCTTTACATCTACTGATATGCAGGCAACAAGGGGTTTTGATTTGAAGGCAGAGATGGCCTAATAGGCCTTTGAATCCTTTAAATGTCAAAGGACATTATTTGACCCCATTTAGCATCAAATCCTAGTAGAAAATATGGCATCTTTTTAATGCCACAATTAAATACATCTAATTAGGATCGCATTTAATATTATGGATAACTAAGGCTAGGGTATTGCTGCTAATCCCCCCCCCAAAAAAAAATAAAAAAGTGAATAAAATGGACTTTACTTTGCTGAATCTTACAGCTTCATAACGTTCTACCAGTCAAGTTTTCATTTCTACCTTTCATATTCAGTGTTGGAGCAAGTTATATTTATGTTTTACATGCCCTGGTTTTACAAACATTGCAGGTTTCATCTGGACATCCCTTGTCAGTGTCACCATGAGTGCCCTTTGAAATGGCATAGGAGGATACTAATGGGGCGTCTTTACTGCAGGAAAGGGGAGGAATAAAAACATTCCCAGATATAAAAGTTCTTGCCAATGAGAAAACATTTGGCCCATAACTCCATAGGAAACATTACAAAGCATTTCTGAAGCTATGTTGTTGTGGAGCTTCAGGAAGAAGTATATAAATCATGAATGAACCATTTCATGTTGAGTTTCAGATAAAGACAGAGAACTTGAGGGATTTTCTGCTTCAAGTACAAAAATCACTTAGTTGTTGGGGATATTACAGAAAGGCTGAGGAACACGTGCCTGCTCCTGCTCTGTCTCAAGCATCAAATCTTCTGAGGCCTGTCCCAACAGGAATCACTGAACAATAGGCAATAACAAGCTTTGCAACCTGATCATGCATTGGAGCAATTGATTGTGGTAATTGCATCTCAGATTGAACCCGTTCACACAGTTCTCCAATGTGTTGTTGACAAAACTAAGCTGCAGGTATCGCTGAAGCAGAAACACCAGAAGCCAAAGTCCTGAGGGCGTGGCAGAGTCAAGAATAAGAGACAGCACTCAAAACAAGGGTGGAGGCCTTTTTTTTTTTTTTCCATTTTGAGGCACACATACACTCATAAGATGTGCATTCATTCCATAACTGCATTCTAGCAGTGGGCAGACAAAAACCAAAATTGGGGTTGACCAAAGCAACACCTACGAATGCCTGTCATACTCACTCTGAAATGAAGAAGCTGAGACTTAATTTATACTATGGAGATACTATCTGTAGGAAAGAAGCCCATGTGAAATAGACATTTGCAGTTGTTATTAGAGATGTCTTCTAAAATTCAAATATACAGTGTAGGAGTTCTCCTAAGTTTTTAGTGTTGAGACAACTTTGATGATAGCAGTAATTTTTTTCCTGAGGTGATCTGCTCTACCAGCTGTGGCCCTGTCTAGAGAAGATTTATGCATGGATTTAACATTTAGGTTGGACTACTGTAATTTACTCCAGCTGGATTTGTTTTTGAAGATGCTTTGGAATTTTCTGTTGATGAGAAAGTGGCTAAATTTATTTGTTCAAAAGTTGCCTATATTCTGCAAAGTTTTATGGGGATATAATTAGTTCAAAATCTTGTGCCACTACTCCAAAATTATAAATTTAGACTTGTATTCTCTCCTCTTCTTGTGGTAGGCAGGGCGGAGAGTATTATAGCCAGTCTCTTTGTTTACTGTTAGTGGATCATTCAACATTTTATTTAACAAGAACTACATTGTCTGAATAGATCAGGGGTGTCAAACTCAAGGCCCGTGAGCTGGATCTGGCCCTCAGGGTGCTTAGATCTGGCCTGCGGGGCCACCTTGGAAACAGCAAACAATCAGCCTGCAGTGCTTCTGTCAGCAAAAACGGAACTTAGGAGGGCTGCCCTCTTGAACTCTGTTTTCTCTGGCAGAGGCTGGCAGGAGGCCAGCACAGCCAAAAATGGAGCTTGGGAGCCCATTTTTGCTGGCAGAGCGCTCAAGCCGCCACAGGCGCCCCTGACACGAATGATGTTGAGCTGGCCATGCCCCCCTGCCCCTCCCAGGTCAAACATAACTCTGATGTGGCCCTCAATGAAATAGAGTTTGACACTCCTGGAATAGATGATATTAGTATAAACTTTTTCTGTTGAAAGGTTCAGAACTAGTTTGGTCAGAATGGTCAGAATTAGTTTCTTGTTTCACATGATTTCACTATCCAATCATAATTACCAAATATCTACTGCCAGTTGTGTGTGTGTGTGTGTGGGCGCGCGCATGCACATCTCTCCAGCTTGTTATTTTTCTGTCCTCTTATAGGAAGTGCCCTCTTAACTCCTCACTTGCCTTAGTAGGGTGTAAGTACCCTATTATTTCATCACATTGCTCACCCAAGTAACAATGGGATCAAGATGACACTGGTACTTGCCAAGGTTGGACACCCCTGCTCTAAAGCTTAAATGGTTTGAGGCCAAGTTACCCAAAGGATTTTTTCCATCTGCATTTAGAGTTATAAGATTTGTCCGAAAGCTCTGGCTCTGAAACAAGTGCAAAGGGAAAATCCCTTTCAGCTGTCTTTTGTTGGGTGAAACCCCTTTCTTTTAGATCTGGGAAATCCCGTAAAGCTCACTTATTCTCAGTAACTTTCTTTTAAACTAGTTGAGTTGGCACGATAAATGTAACTCTTCAGGGATTTTTAAACTGGACAGTTAAATTTTATTTGCTAGTTCTCACAGCTTATTTGGGCACTGAAGATTTCTGCTACCTGTATGTTTATTTCCCAAATACTTGAAAATTGCCTTGAAAAGTTTTACCATAGAGTGAAGAAAGGATTGGAAAATGATAATGTCTGATCATACAAATTTATGTATGTACATTATATATTTAGATCCGTTGGCCACCAATCATTGCAACATACGTACTTGTGTCAGATTTTGGGATGCAAGTACATAATTTACATGATTCCATTTTGTTGTCAACTGCTAAAGATGCTGATCACGAAGAGTTAGGTTTGGAAAAGCTTCCTATAGTCCTCAGCAGAAGGTAGGTGTTTTTCAAGCCTTTTTGACAAAATACAGTTTTGAAAGACCAACTGCAGTCCAGGAGGAAGAAAAAAATTAACTCTTCCCTTCCAGGAGCAGCATACTAGAAACAGCCTTTTTTCCCCAAGAAAATATTCAAGTCTTTTTCTTCTTTATTATCACTTTGATTAATTGTGAACTTAAACATTTTATCTGTGACTTGTATCTGTTCCTTATATTAATTTATTAGACACTAAATGTTTAGTGTCTTTTTTCAATAGCAATTGAGATGATGGGAAAGGACTAGAGATCCTTCAGGTTGACTAGGCAAGAAACTGCAAAAATAGCTTTCCAACGACACAGAAAAACCAGCTAAGTAGGTTTATTGTTGATGAGCTAACAAAGCCATTATATGTTTTTTAAAAATTCAGGAATTTACATGGAGTACAATTGGCTAGAAGCAGGACGAATAATTTCAATTATGAAATTATGGACTTTGTTTTTGAAAAGGACTGGTGTGGCATGAAGCTGCTTACTTGTGACTTTGAGAGAAATGACTGGGCTGGAGTTTTGCAATCCTTGAAGCAAATGCTATATATATTGAAATAAATAGTATGTTTTGTATTTCTTGCTGCGGAAAGCCATGAGTCAGCCTGGACAGATGAGTTCAGAACTGCAAATTTATTATGTATTTAGTTCTTCAGTCTGGGCATCTATAAGGAGAGATGAGAATTTCAGCTGAGAATTTAAGCCCCTTTATGCTAAATGACCAGATTCATCTCTATAATGTAGCTACCCTGGACTCCTCCAGGGAGTTGTTATAGCAATCAGTATTCTTAAATTTAAAAAATATCCTTCTTCCAAAATATTTGAGTGATTGCTTGATTAAGATAAAATGCCTCTTCTTGAGGCATTGATTTGTGGTGACTGCATCTGCACAACTATGATTAAGACTAATCAAGCTGACAGAACAAGGTGTTTGAGTGATGTTATAGAAACAGAACTGGGGAAGAAAGAAAGAAAAACAGAATGGTTGTTTTTAAAGCCTTGGGGTTTTTTTAGATTCAACTCAGTCCTGTAATGGAGCCATGGACTAAATACAATTTCTCCAGGTGCTTTTGGCCTCAGCTTATACTTAATCCTGAAGGACAAAGAAAACTGTAACTTTGAAAGCAGGAGCAACTAGGCAGAGGCTGTAGTTTGTCTATTTTATAATGCCTTTTTATCTATGACTTTCAAGAAACCAAAGAGCCCTTTGAGTTAATGGCGCTACCTCTACTCCCTGCATGCAACCCTCCCCTGCCCAGTGTTTATTGCTGTTTTCTTGGGACGCTTGACAGATTAGAATGAGTTTCCTCTTGCACATTAGAATTCTGCCTGCTTGTACTAGGTACAGCCTATTCTTCCTAACGTGCACGTCCATCGGTCACTGCACACAGTGCTAATCTCTCAAAGTTCCAGGCTCCTCCCTACAATCATTTCTTCCACGGCTGAAGCAGAGGGAGAAGCAAATTGCAAACTTCTTAGACAGTGGATTCCCTCCTCCCCCATCCCTCCCCTTTACATCCATTTGTGTCCCATGCTGGGAAAAACAAAGAAGCATTTCATTCTCTGACATGTCAAGTTTAGCGAGGCAGCCATGGTCTAGTATAAAAAGATCAAGTAGAGAGAGGGGGGGGTGTTACTACAGCAAAGAAATGCAAATGTGCAGTCACTTGTAAACATTACTACCCTCTGAGCTAGCTTTCTACTACTAGCAGTCCCTGGTGCTTGCAGGAAAGGAGGGATTGTTATTTTTCTAGGACCAGAGAAAAAAGCTGAATACATGCTTGTAAAGGCACCATTATGAAGAGCAGACTCGCTCATACTGTCATCTCTAGCCATAATGCATACAGTACGGAGGTATACAGATTCATTGGTGTTGATACAGGAAGAAAAGATATGTGTGCATGCCTAACGTGAAATGAAAATGTGGGATGTTTTTTTTAACAAGAATTGTTTGACTAATTGAACAAGTTTCTCCTTGAAACCAAGAGAGATGGCTGACGTGATAAAAGGGAATCAGTAAAAATGTGCAAAATAGGTTGGTAAAAATTTTTTAAAAAGACATCAAAGTACAAAGCCCGGTTAGCCGGAGAGATTAAAAATGCAGGGTTATTTTCATGTAGTAGCTTTCCTCCTCTTGTTGATCTCCAGAGGGGAATGCAATTCTGAGAAGTCTCACCTGTAAGATCTCAGAACTATTGTAGGACGTGTGAGGTTTCTCATTTTTTTTCCCATTAGTGCAGTTCGTTGCAGTTTTACTGAAGCTATAAGTAGGGGTAGGAAATGATTGAGGTTGTATTTATGGAATACGCTTGTTTGTTCATCAAGGCCCATCAGCCATTGGCAATAGCTTTCAAAATACTAGATTACTCCAGTCACAAATTTTTGGTCCTTGTACGTTTGCTGTTATCATTATGCTAATCTTTTGATTATTCTAGAGTTTTCTTCTGTTTCACAGGGTTCAACTGTTTGAAGGATTCATCACTGCCTGTCAATGGCCCAAAGCCAAGATGATGTGTAATATATCATTTATTTGATGCAACTCTCCTTAGGATTTATGATTTTCGTCAAATGACGCATTTTATGTGAAACCCACGAATCTGTTTGTTCATGTTTTTGCTTTTTCCCTTTATCCCAGAAGGTAGCTGAGCTGCAGGATGAGGTGGTCACCGAAGTTTTCTCTGTCCCTCCCTTTGCACGGGCTTTGCCAGGTTTAAAGCACGCCACCAATTACAGTGTTCGAGTTCAGTGTTCTAATGAGATGGGCAGCTCTCCTTTTTCAGATTGGGTCTATTTTCAGACCTTGGGATTAGGTAAGATTTAGAGGGATAGAGTGCATGAAACTCTTAAAAATTATTGTTTTTTGTTGAATCGGAAAACATTTGGAAAATAGCAACTTTCCTGATTTAATTGAACAGATATACTGCATGTCTGATTAAACAAAGATTGTAAGGAATGTGCAAAACTCAGGGCCGGGTTCAAGCAATCAATCATCGGCCTCCATGATTGTTGCTTTCTATTGTATAGTTAATTGGAAACTCTGAAGCTGTTATCAGTTCTGCCATGTAGGATAGAATAGAATTCTTTACTGGCCAACACACATCTGGATAAAATGGATGCTTCAGCATTTAGAGCTTGTTGAAAAGGTGGGAAACCTTTTAGAAGACTGTGTAGAACTTAACCACAAATTTAATAAATGATTATTAATAGCATTTAGGATATCTGGGTTTCCTAAAGCGCTTCTGTCCTTTGTGGCTTGCCATTCAGTAGCACTCTCTTAAACAGCACAACAGATACATTGCGGTTTTCTTTCCCTTGCAGCTCCAAATTGTACTCCACAAAATGTACGCATTATCCAAAGAGATTCTTGTCTGATTTTGGAATGGGAAGCAGTAGCTCCAGCAATGTTTGGGGAGAATACCTTAGGATACAGGTTGGAGTGGAGCCAAGATAACATAACTCAGGTAATAAACCGAGAAACATTATGCTCTTGATGAAGCAGGACAAAGTTTATTTAGGAGAACCTTTTCTATCCATATAGTCTGCAGATGGATTTTTCTTCAACTCCCATCATCCTTTAGCTAGCTAGTGATCAAGCAGGGAAATATAATAATGACTGTTCAATATGCTTAAATGCCCAAACACAGAAGTTTAATTAACCCATAGACCCTTCTTACCAGTGATAAATGACCTTTATAAATTGAAAATACTGCTAATAGATTTCACTGCATCTTGTGTCAGTGAGTTCTAAAAGGTAATTTGAATGATTAAAAAAGAAGCTTGGTTAGAAAGAACTGCCAATAAAAGCAGTTGGGTCTCCATATTGGTAAGATGTGTATTCAAAGATTTGTGTTTTTATGGTGGCAGTTGCGAAATTTGTCATACTAAAAATTTGGCTGCTGCTTCAGTGGTAGGATTCAAATTTTTTTTACTACCGGTTCTGTGAGTGTGGCTTGGTGGGTGTGGCAGGGGAAGGTAAAATCTCCAGTCAGAGGTGATATTTGCTGGTTCTCTGAACTACTCAAAAATTTCCACTCTCGATTCTCCAGAACTGGTCAGAACCTGTTGAATACCACCTCTGTGCTGCTTGTTGCATACACACATTGAGTAATGGTGATCAGTTTTGCAGTGAGAAATGTTTCTTTGTGTATTGTCAGTGCATTTATTCTGCATCTGGTTTTGTTTAACTTGCTGATTAAGGCTGGAGAATTATGCTCCCCTCAAAAAACAAAAGAAATACTTAAAAAGTGGAGGCATTTCAAATATATCCCCGAAAGGATAACACTGCTTTGCACAGATATAACTGATTTAGTCTTGGAGAGTATAAATTAAAAACTAGCCACCCTGATAAGAATAGATTTGCTAGGACGACTGAAAGCAATAAATATTAGGGACTGAAATAGTAGGGATTGAAGAGGTAATGCTAGTGCTTTTAAGGCATACCTGAATGTAGGAAGCCTTACAATTTTCATGCTTGGAATAGGCTTCTCTTCATGGCAGCTTAGATATTAGACATGCATATTGTATTTGTTCTTTGGACTGCGAAACCTGTGTAAGGAATAGGATAGCAAGACTAAAAAATTGTCTGCCTCAACACGAACTTTCCGGTTTAATGCCCTACCTCACATACTCTTTCACCAGTGAGAGACTGAGGATCACTTGTTCTGTTATCTAGTATTACTGATTTTTGCGACTTGGAATGCCAGATATAAATTGTAATTTTGTGCCCAGGTTTTTTAAATTTAGGAATGATAGGATTATTGTCTACCAATCCATTTGGTCAGCTACTTTTAGGGAACCGAATCGGGATTCTGTTAACTGTTACTACACTGCTCCTTTCTTTTAATAACAGTGGTAATAGTTTGCTGATATAGCAAACAATTGAGTTATCAAGTAGCCCCAGACAAACATACCAATCATACATGAACTGGGGTAGGAAGCAGGAGATATCTGGGAAGAAAGATTTAATTCTTAATACGATGGAATTAAATTTCTCCCATTATTGCATTATGGACAACATTTTATTTCTAAACTAGAAAATAATATTTTTTGCAGTAATTCCATCCTTACATGGATACAAAGTAGGTTTGGCTCAGAGACCACAGTTCAATTGTGCAATAAATAATGCCACAATTTAGTGCAAAATCAAATCATCAGTTATTTACTATGTAACTGTATGACAAAGACTATGCATAAGTCTTGATTTCCGGGCTTTAAAGCACAGAATTTATTTGATGAAAACCAGTGAATTTCATAAAGGTGGAAAATTAGACAATGACTGCAAGCAGCTGCATGGGGTAGAACAGTTCAGACTCTGAATTGCCCTGGAATAGCTTTGCTTGTCAACCTAAACAGTTCAGGCCAGCAAACAGGAGATGCCGGAAACACAAATAACTTCTTACGGTTGTAGCAAGTAAGTCCAAGCTACTGTCTTTTGGAAAGGGCAGATAACAATACTAGACTGTGCAACAAACCATGATCCCAAGATTATTAGATAACTTGGAACAGAAGAAATTGATTTTCTCATTCAAAAGTAATAATGAACAAGTGTCACTTGAATGACAATGCACCATTTGTGGTTTTCTGGTTATAGGGGGAATTGATTGTGAAGGAAGCAAGAGCTAACCTTTCTATGTGGAATCCCTTAAAAGACCTTCTAATCAAGGTCTGTATACTCAGTTCAGCCGGTTGTGGACCCTGGAGTGAGCCCTTACTGCTTACATCCCAAGATTTAATAGGTAAGTGGCAAATGCAGGAAGTGTTTGTGTTTGAGGAAAATGGGCTGTTGTTAATATGGTGCATCAGATGAGGAACAGCGAGAGAGCTGGTACCATTGTATTCCTCTGGCTGTGCTCTTTCCAATATTCCCAGCTGCACATGTATTATGTTTTCACAGATGAGAAACAAGCAGCTTCAAACAATCTAGCAGAAGCAGGGACTGGCTGGGAGTATTACAAATTTTCTGTGTAAGGGAACGTTGGGCAAATGAAGGAAAAGAGCAATATAATACAAATGGCTCCCCTACTATTGTTTGGTGTTACTATATTATTAAAAATGATTGAAAGAATCTGCAAGCCCGATATGGCCTAGATAAATAGAAATGATATTTTCTGCATTTGAGATTTTTTTTGGCTCCCGAATGGGTTATAAGGATTCTCAGATCAGGGTATCTGACAGTTTTTGCCCTTAGTTATAAAATAATTATAGGAAGCCATTGTTAATTGCTAATCTTTTGAATTACAACAATGTGGTAATAATGCTGTCAGGGCTCCAACAAATCCACCCTCATTCAAATCAAAAGTCTCTAGCCGCATTTCAAAGAAAAGTAAATTGATTTATTAGGAGTGGCCATGTTGACGTAAGCTGGATGCAACCGATACTAAATTACATCATACATTTCCCCCTTGACCCTGGTCTTCCCCCCCACCCCTGGATGTGATTTCTCCAATGGGACACATCCATTTCCAAGAATCATCCACCATGCTCGCCAATAACCTTCTTATGCTCCGACAACTTTGGGCTGCCATCTTGGCATTTAAGGAATGCCTTGTTTTCCCCCCACTCCTTTTTCTGGCAGCTAAAAAGACCAAAGGAGTATCTGTTTAGTTGACAAATGCATTGCAAATACCATATAAACATTATAGTATGTTAAATTATGATAGATCATCTCAAATTTAATTATCCATTGTACAGGTAGTCCTCGACTTATGACCGCGATTGAGCCTAAAATTTCTGTAGCTAAGTGAGACATTTGTTAAGTGAGTTTTGCCCCCTTTTACGATTTTTCTTGCCATCGCTGCAATTCTTAAGATAGTAAGATGATTGTTAAGTGAATCTGGCTTCTCCACTGACTTTGCTTGTCTGAAGGTTACAAAAGGTGATCACATGAACCTAGGACACCGCAACCATCATAAATGTGAGTCAGTTGCCAAGCACCTCAATTTTCATCACATGACCATGAGGATGATGCAACCATTGTAAGTGTGAAAAATGGTCATAAGTCACTTTTTTCAGTAAAGTAACTTCAAATGGTCACTAAACAAACTGTTGTAAGTTGAGGACTACCTGCATAATAAGCATTAGAGATTATGGGCATAAAATGGAGGAATGGGAAATTGTTCCAAATGGAAGCAGTTGATTTTTCACTTCTTCCTGGAAGTTTCCCGCATGGGTATGTTTTCTCAAACCAGAGGAATACAGATTTTTGATACATAAAAGCTACATTTAACATTTCAGAGGAACTAAGAGCCACACTGAGTGGAGTAATATGACTTGTGAACATCTCCAAGATAAAGTTGGCATCGTATTCCAGTTGCATCTTTGAACATTCAGCCTCTACCTAAGAACAAAATTAGCAAGATTGATGAAACCAAAGGCACAGCCTTCTCTTCTAAGGATGGCTAGTCCAGAAACAGACCAAACGGGGATGGATCACTTCAACAGCACTGTTGGCTATGTTGCTACATCACTTTAGAGATATTTAGAATACCATTGGTGAACCTCCTTCTAGAGCTAAAGCTCTTTCAGGGATGAAAATGTCTATAGGCTAACGAAACATTTCGCTTTCTTACAAGGATTGTATTTTCTAAACAGGGGGGCAAAGGCAGCCTCTTTATGGAACATCCTGGGTTCCTGTGGTTTTAGGAATTCTAACGGCGCTGGTTACAGCAGTTGCCTTAGCCCTAATTCTTCTACGGAGAAGAAGAAAAGAAACTCGATTTGGGTAAAAGTCTTTTTTCGCCCTTTTTTGCTGTTTATCATCCCCATTGTAATTTCAACATTCTTTTGTGCAGAGATTCTCAAAATGTTGCCCACTGATATGTCAGCGGAATTCCTTAGCTGGCATAGCCTTTAACCATGTAAAGCATTTCATTTTCACTTTATATTTTGTATATTCTTTCATTTTCTTTTTCATATTATCTCTCTCTCTCCCTCTCTCCCTCTCCCTCTCCTTCTCCCTCCCTCCCCCCCCCTCTCACACACACACATATGGAAAATATGATAGTCTTTGTCCTCCTGATTGAGAATTGCAATCTTAAAATATCTGCTTTGTGGAATGGAAAGAGGGATGGCCTACTTGGTCTTTCCATTTCACAACCAGCCCTTCAGACAACAAGCTGTAGAATTGGCTTCAAGATTCCCCTGTGCCACTGATGATATCAGAAGTCTCCAACCTTGGCAACTTTATGACTTGTGGACTTCAACTCCCAGAATTCTGAGAGTTGAAGTCCACAAGTCGTAAAGTTGCCAAGGTTGAAGACCCCTAGACTATATAATACTTTGCCAGTAAGATGGTAGGGAAAGAAGGAACCATAAGAAGAGAGTGGCATAGGTAATAATTGAGAAGAAGCAGTAGATCAAGCCTTAGAGGAATTCCATTTTTCCATCCTTTACAATACTGCATTGTAAAAGTAGCCATTTTTCAGAGGCCCTTTGGAAGTATGAAACAATTTTCCTGGGTCTTCTGATATTTTTGTACTGCCTCAGAAAAAAGAAAATAATTGCCAAGATAAAGAAGTTCTTAGCTGTTGTCTGTAGTAAGTACATAACTTAGGTTTTGTGATTTCTCTATTTTGTACATTTTATGAGATGTTCTTTGCTCCCCCCACCCCCCGGTGTAGTCAAGCCTTTGGCAGTGTGGTTGGAGGTGATCCTGTAGTCCATTTCAGAGCAGTGCGATCATTCAACCGAGTCCCAGAGCTTATTGAAGTAACGTGTAAGTAATACGTATGTGACTCTTTCCTCAGCAAGTGTATTTCCATTCTCCTAGCTAAAGTGCTGTTCTCTTCCTCCGTCAAACCATTTCCTAATAACATTGTGATGATGATGATGATACATGTAATATTCTATTCATTTGCCAAATTGAAAGACTAAATAAGAACGTGCCTTATGCAAAATTGGTACCCCTATCCATGCTCCTTTAACTTCTGTGGGGGTGGGGGGGGTGCATCCTACAAAGCTGGATTACCGTGTCATCAAGGACCTGTTTTCATTTTGCTTCTTTTTAGCTGAATCCTGATTCAAATTATTTATGAGTAAAATGAATACCTTATACACGTTCATTGGGGTATAAATCCAGCTGACCATAGAGACCCTTGTTCTCACATAAACTGGGGAGGATGATCAAACTGTGAAGTCTGAAGCCGTGATTAAAAATTTGTACTAGATTTCAAATCAGAGTTCACCTATTGTACTGCTGTTTGGAACTTGATTATATCATAAAAGCCAGGGCTTGCTAGCTTCAGACTGAAGTATAAAGTGCTATCTTTGAGGTTGATTCACAGATACTGTTTAAAGCGGTCTTTCCCCACTTGTATTCTCCAGACTATAACTCCCAGAATTGCCAGGCATTAAGTGGAGATGACCAGGATGGGAATGGCTGGATTTTAAATTCGTATTTTCTACCATTCAAGGGAAGTAGAGCAAATAATTTGAAACACTGAAATGTTATAGCACTGAAAAAAGCAACTTTATTGCATCTTTGTTGCTTTATGTGGTTTATAAGACTAAAAAAGAAATTACTTCCTAGGAGTAAGAGTGAATTTATTTCCAAAACAAATTCTTTGTTTTGGCTTGTTCATTTTTCATATACTCTTACCTAGTGTTCCTCACACTGTTGCCCTTCAGTGCATCTAACCTTAATTCCCATGTGTTCTACTCATGGTATCAAAGGTTGTGCTATCCAATACATTGGGAACTTGTAATTTAACACATCTCAATGCCAAAGATGAGGGAAGATTATTCTAAATTATGCAACACTAATTGTTTCTTGGATCAAAAGCATATCGATCTAGTTGCCCTTGTTTTCTTCTGTTTATCCAGTGGATAGTATAGGAATCAGTGATGAATTGAAGACCAAATTGAAAGATGTCCTAATCCAGGAACAACAGTTTACTCTGGGAAGAATGCTAGGCAAAGGTGAGTAGTTCCCCAAAGCTTACAGAAAATGCATTTACTTTGATTAAGCTCAGTTCCTATATTGTTTACAAATATTTGATTTCTAAGGATTTAGCCACACTAAATGGCAGAGACCTAAACTGCAATAGTTACAACCGAATGTAGCTAGGAATGGGAACTTTTAAATTAGGAATATTCATCATTCTGTTGCTGCTTTTAGAAGAGAATCGAGGCTGACAGATTGAATTATCTGGGGCTAAACATGCAGGCCTGCCTGTACATTGTGATTATTAGAGGCATTTGTACACCGTATCAAAGAACATGAGAATTAGAAAAAAAACAAAGAATAGCATAAAAGTGGAACTGGAGAATGTATTCACAAAATGTGTGAAAGCTGCAGGAAATGAATAGAAGGAAAGCTAATAGGGAAGATTATGGCAGCAGAAATATTTTTGGAGGATCGAGAAATTTAGGAAGATTATTGCTGTAGCTTGTTATTAGCACCTTGTCAAACCTCCAGATATACAATGCAGTTAAACATTTTTATGTCCTATTGCTTCCAGCATAAGTTGGCTACTGATAGAAACCTTCAGTTCTATCTACCTTAGGTTTCTATCAATTCCTGTTTTTCTGTAATTCCTTGGGAGGAAAAAAAATCTGTAGACTTTCAGTGCAAATGTTATGGTTTTTATATTCTTTCTCAGAAAATATTCCCATGGAAGAAGATATTTGACTGGAAGAAATTCTGACTTAGTAGTTTACATCTTTATAATTTTTAACCTAAGCATTCTACTCTAAATCCTAAAACAAACTTTAACTGAAGTGCCTATGGAGGTTCTCAAGTCATCCAGTTCATGGTTGTTCAATTTTGACATAGATGGCTTCCTTAAACCCTCATTCAAACCAGAGGTCCTGTATGTCTAAAAATCTAAACTTTGCTATCTTCAAAAGAGTGGCCTTTGTCTTTTAAATGCAGCTGGACTGCTGAATCTTGTCCTGATGGGTTTGTTCTCCTATGTTGTGCCATGTGTTGTCTTGTTTCCCGCAATTTAACTGCAGTGAGCTTTTTAAATTACCATACCCCTTTACGTTCCTTTTTTTTTTTTGTAATTTATTAGGGGAATTTGGTTCCGTCAGGGAGGGTCAATTGAAAATGCCTGATGGCTCTCTCCAGAAAGTAGCAGTGAAAATGCTAAAAGGTGAGTAAATCTAAATTAATTGAACTGTCTCCATCCCATTTTGTCACCATAAATCTTCCATTTTCTGAGTTTGTGTATTCTCACCAAACTATATACCGTGTTTCTCATATAATAAGGCCGGGTCTTTTTTTTTTTTTGAGCCCCGAATAAACGGCTATGCCGTCTTTTCAGGGGTGACTTAATCCCCCCCCTTGCATCCTCGGGCGGGCGGGCGGTGACGGCTTGGATGTTGACCTCAGCGTTGGTGGGGCACTTTGTATCAGGAGACCTTCTGCCACCGTTGCTTCCCTTTCTCCCTGTGCTGTTTTTGGCCTCCCAAACCCTCCGTGTGTCATGTTTTTGCCCTCCCCTGCATCCAGAAGCACTCTGCAAACCAACAACGGGCCCATTTTTGACCTCTGGAGGGTTCCGCGGGTCCTGTTTTTGCTCTCCCTGGCATCCAGAAGAACTCTGCAGTCCAAAAGCGTGCTCTTTTTGGCCTCCTAAACCCTGCACAGGTCCCGTTTTGGGCCTCCTCGATGCTGGGCCCATTTTTGGCCTGCAGAGTGCTTCTGGACTCTAGGGAGGGCAAAAACAGGAGGCAAAAAACAATTTTTTTCCTGTTTTCCTCCTCTAAATCTAGATGGTCTAGTGAGTCTTACAGACTGAAAAATACGGTAGTTGGCTGTGGTTTACCTTTCTTCACATTTTTTCCCTTTCTACATATTCCTTGAATGCATATTTGTTATATTTCAATATATATGGCCATCCTTCTCAACAGTGCAGTGAACACAGTTAAAAATTTCAATATAAGCATAAAATGTAGAGATATAAGCACAACAAAGTGTAGCATCAAAACCAACAGCCTTCAGACACTCTCTAGATGTGTTGATTTTTAATTCCCATATGCTCCACTCAGCATAGCGTAATGATGCTGTACTCTATGGTTACATTTATATTCCCATTTTTTTTAATAACTTAAATGTTTGACAAATGTCAAATAAAAGTATAACTAATAACACCGTTCATATCCAATCTATCTGACTTATATTTAATGGCCAGTACTATGGACTAAACAGATTGCACTGTGCCTGTCTTGAATTCTTATTCATTTAACCTGTTTTACTTTTCAGCTTTTCCTATAGACTCCCAACTGTTCTTTGTCCATTCGGCTCCTTTTCTTGAATTTGTCCCCAATGAGTTTAAAAGAAATCTCAGTAGTACTTCTCTTTATTTTAGCTGACATCTTCACTTCCAACGACATAGAGGAGTTTTTGAAAGAAGCTGCTTGCATGAAGGAGTTTAACCATCCACACATTACTAAATTAATAGGTGAGCATTGTCACATTTAATGTTTGCACTAGAGATCCCAAAGTATATATTTTACAATTTATTTGTAGATGGAAATTTATTAATTTATAAATCTATCAATATGGCTGCCCATCTTACAAATCAAACCCTGGGTGTCTAGCAATCTGTTGAAACAATAGAAAAACAATATAAGCAAAGAATTTTAAAAGCAACAATGGTCACCAAGAATAAACCCAAACAAAAAATCAACCGAGGCTTTCAGCAGGCCATGTAATTGAAAATCAGAAGGAACAGTAGTCACCAATGTACAGTATTTGGAGTGTAGCCATTCTCAGTGCCTATGTATATTGTTACATTTCAAATAATTCTTCCTGAAGACTTTTCTTATTTGATAGTCCTCATTTCTCCAACAAATATTGGTTCTCAAAAATGAACCTAAGAAAGAGAGGCAATAAATAGGCTGCAAAGTTGGAAGCAAGCAGTTGTGATAGTTAAGAAATATAACTGTCAGGCTGAAACCATCCTGTTGCTTTAGATGGAATGTTTCTGAGTCCAAATAAGAAAATATTCCCCAGTTTGGAGTTACCATGTGGTATTTTTGAATGTTATTTGATCCAGATAAAAAGTCAGGTTACTTGAAGAATGCCTAGTGTTTTTGATACAGGAAGTCCTTGACTTGCAACAGTTCATTTAGTGACTGTTCAAAGTTACCATGGCAGGGAAAAATATGGCTTATGACCTTTTTCAAAGTTATGACCTTTGCAGCATCCCCATGATCATGTGATCAAAATTCAGATGCTTGGCAACTGGCTCATATTTATGACCTTCGCTGGGTCCCAAGATCACGTGACTTCTCACAAGAAAAGTCAGTCGGGAAACTAGGTGCACTTAACAACCGGGTTACTAACTTATCAACTGCAGTAATCCCCTGAAGAGTTTAGAAATGCTACCCTCTCAGAATGTAGTGTTATTTTCAGCAGTTTGTGAAGAAGGAAGTATTCTAAATATTTATGATAATTTATTACAGGTATAGTGGTTCTTGCTAACTGCACATTTCTGTTATCTCAAATCAGGGGTCAGTTTGCGTAATCGGCCTAAAGGTCGCCTTCCAATCCCAATGGTTGTCCTACCCTTCATGAAGCATGGAGACCTTCACTCTTTTCTACTAATGTCCAGGATTGGAGAAAACCCCTTTGTAAGTTTTTTTCTCTTAAACCAAGACTGAGATTAATCGATCTTCTATTGTTTACACTGTTATAAACTATTGTCATTTATTGATTTGTTTAGTTGGTAGCTTGCAGTGCTGCTTACTGTATTTGCTGTTACAATTCAAAAAGATTCTGATTTCTCCTCTTCCAGTAAGATGGTTAAAAATTAAAAACAAACAACAAAATAAATATTAGCAATTACAGCTAAAATTATAAAAGGTTTCAGCATCTAAAGAACAATCCTCAAAACACACCAATAAAGGGACTTGCAATTTATATCAGTTCTACTCTCAGAGTTTTCGTAAACATCCAAGTTTTAATGGCTTTCCTGAAGCTTGTAAGAGTTTAAGGTGGAAGCTAATCCAAGGGGTTGCATTTAAGAAAGCCTGTCTCATGACTCCTCTCAAGATGATCATTCTTGAGAGAAGAAATTTAAAGTGAATTTACTCTTAGGTCACATCATACTGGGCAATTGGGGGAAAGAGCTATTTTAGATCATCAAGGGCTGAGTATGTAGGACAGGGGTGTCCAACCTTGGCAACTTTAAGACTTGTGGACTTCAACTCCCATAATTCCTCAGCCAGCTTTGCTATGGGAGTTGAAGCTATGGGAGTTGAAGTCCACAAGTCTTAAAGTTGCCAAGGTTGGACAACCCTGATGTAGGACTTTCAAAGTATCATCCAATCTAACACCTTGAATTCCACCTGGAACCAAACAGATAATCAGTGCAGCTCTCAAAGTAGGATTGTAGCTTGGGATGTATTCTGAACCAGTTGAAGTTTCTGGATAGTCATCAGGAGGAGCTCCCTGTAAAGCAAGTTGTAGTAATCTGAGTCTTAGGTGGGCTATTAATTACAGACAATGAAAATTGCTAACACTTTTGAACATATAAAACATGTGGGAAGTCACAACTATTTTAAAACTCCTGTGCTAACTGCCATTAAATTTTAATTCCAGAAATGCTAAATGTGCTTTTCAGGGGTTAAAAGCAATGTGAGCCATAGTGGCACAGTGGTTAGAATGCAATATTGCAGGCTAATTCAGTGCTCGCTCCAGAAGTTTGATTCTGACTGGCTCAAGGTTGACTCAGCCTTCCATCCTTCTGAGGTCAGTAAAATGAGGACCCAGATTGTTGGGAGCAATATGCTGACTCTGTAAACTGCTTAGAGAGGGCTGTAAAAGCACTGTGAAACGGTATGTAAGTCTTAAGTACCATTGCTATGTTGTTGCCAATAGCAGTTAAAGTGCTCTTTGCTAATTTTTGTATGTGTGTTAGGGGAAAAACATGGAAGAATGTGTCTGGAGGAAAATATTTGCAGCTTAGGGCTGAACTAAGGAGTCCATGGGACTCTCTGAGCTTAGTTGTTTTCTTATAGACGAAACTTGGTTAACTAACTACCGTGTTTCTCATATAATAAGGCCAGGTCTTATTTTTTTTTGAGCCCCGAAAAAATGGGTAGGTTAAGTAACATCATCAGTGCTAGAAGAGAGTGTGGTTTGTTCTTATATACAAGTGGTTTGCCCTGTCAGTGTTAGTGCGCATATTTTGGGTGCTTCCTTGATTAGGCTGTTGCTTGATGTTTGATTATCTGAGTTGGTAGTTCCTTGATTGGGTTGTTGTTTACAGCTTGGTTGTTAATCCAGTGCTAGTCTTGGTGTTAATCTCTGCATATCTGTGTGTCGATATCTGGTGAGCAGGTTTTTGATCTTTCCCCCATTTTTTTGCTTTTGCTTGTCTCTTTTGAACAATATGTAGCTGTTGTTTATCTCTATGTACCTTTCGATGGCTGATTTGTCATCCATCACGCCAGGCTTCCAGGAATTCTTTAATATTCTTGGACTTAACTTGGTCTAGGATGAAAAAAAAAATTATTTACTAGCGCTGACCTTTGCAAAATCTTTGCCTTCAGACTGATAATGCTGCAATTGAAGTGCAATAGTGTTGTTTGGGTTTTTTTTTTAACTGAAGTATTTTTCTCAGTCAGGTTAGAGTATATGCAATGTTTGGATTAGATCAGTTGTAAAAACAAGGTTAAGCTTTAAGATATTTACTGGAGGGTTTGAGGACATAAAGGATTAAAAAAACCACCCCAAACACATTGATATTTGTAACTCTACCTGTCACCAGTGCACAACAGATATATTGTCACTGCTGCCAGCTACCGTACACAGCTAGAAACACCTAAGCCATTCTCTCTTGCCCAATGTCACACTTCCCCCTCTGCAGTAGTGGATGCTAAATATAAAGAAGTTCCATTGGCTGAAAACATTTGCCCCTGTGATTCTGGAGAGGTAGAAACTACAGAATGTGGCCTTCTTCACTGCTCCCATTAGGGCAGGAGTGTCAAACTGGCAGCCTGCAGACCAGATGCGTCATGTACAGGCCACGCCCACCCCAGCTCCGCAAAGGCAAAAAATGTTGTGATACGTTGATGACGTGATCAAGTTTGACACCCAGCATTAGGGAGACATAATAGATATCGGGTCACCCAGATTCAGCCCTTGCCCAGATACTGCTTATAAACAAAATACCTCTTGTTACAGCACATGTAGTTAGATTTTGTATGGCAGATTTTGTCGAACTCTTGTGGGCCAATATCCCACAATACATTTCCTATGTGTATTACTCATTTAAATTTTAGATACTACCACTACACTGATATTAATAGATATCTTTACTATTTTGTAATTTTAGATTTCATGCTTAATATAATTTTAGTGTTTACATTACAGTCTAATATACGGTAGGCTGTATCCTGGATTTAACATATTAGATGTTTGTTAGGTTATTTAACAAATGTATTTTAACTCTGTCTTTAATGTTATTTGTTTGCATTGGTCTTTGACGGCAATAAATTACATTGAAAATTGAAATTCATACTTGTACATTAACAGCCTACTGATTCTTGGAGTAACAATTCTTTTTATGAGAAAAATCATAGATATCATTTAAATGTTGTTGGGCGGCTTTTCCTACATTACACTATTTCCTCTTCCAGGAGAAAAGGTTCCTATTTAAGTTTTGCCAGTTGAGAAAACATACAGCACAAAGTAAAAAGAAGCCCCTTCTCCTGATGTCCTGCTTCTTGGGTGCAGGGAATTTGTTGTAACTTGGCCTCTAAAATGACCAGTGGAGAGAGCTTCTGCTTTCCATGTGTTGTTGATTCATTTATTTTTAAATGCTCCTAATGAAAGACCAAAATGGCTGTTTCCATAGTAGGATTTAAGATTTTTCTGTGCTACTTTAGTTTTGTCATCTCTGGAACTCGTGGCATAAAATATTATATTTTCTTCTTAATAATCTACCTTCCACTGTACTTCTTTTTTTTTTACAGACTTTGCCACTTCAGACCCTCTTAAAGTTTATGATTCACATTGCTAGTGGCATGGAATACCTGAGCTCCAAAAACTTTATACATAGGGATCTAGCTGCTCGGAACTGCATGTAAGTCCACAATGCCCTTATCAAAGAATTAAAGCGTACATAAAAAATGAATTTAGAGGCTCTGGATTGGGAAGGCCTAACTGTACCTGTTTGGGGGAGAATTGGGGCTGAGATTAAAATAAAATACCTGACACCTTATTCTAATATACAGGTAGTCCTCAACTTACGACCACAATCAAACCCCAAATTTAAGTGAAGCAGTTAAGTGAATTTTGCCCCATTTTATGACTTTTCTTGCCACAGTTGTTAAGTGAATCACTACAACTGTTAAGTTAGTAGCACAGCTGTTAAGTGAATCTGGCTTCCCCTCCTCTACTCGTTGCAGAATACCTTATGCCACCAGACTTGAAACTATAGACCTAGAAAACCTAGAACTAAGCCGCCTACGGTCCGATCTAAATGTAGTATATAAAATCATACATTGCAATGTCCTACCTGCAAATGAATACTTCAGCTGCAACCATAACAACACAAGAGCACACAATAGATACAAACTCAAGGTTAACCATACCAAACTTGACTGCAGAAAATAAGACTTCAGCAACAGAGTGGTCAATGTTTGGAATACTCTACCTGACTCTGTGGTTTCTTCCCCAAACCCCAAAAACTTTAACCTTAGACTGTCTACTATTGACCTCACCCCCTTCCTAAGAGGTCTGTAGGGGGCGTGCATAAGCGCACCAATCGTGCCTACCATCACTGTCCTATTGTTTTTTATTTTTCTTATAAGTATCTATCTCATTTATTCAAAACTATATTTATTTTTATACCTGTATCTTGTAAGCGATTGACAAATCAAATAAATACTAAAATACTCAATACCATTGACTTTGCTTGTCAGAAAGTCGCAAAAGGGGATCACACAACCCCGGGACACTGCAATTGTCATAAATTGTCACTTGTTGAGCATCTGAATTTTGATCGTGTGACCATGGGGATGCTACAACAGTCGTAGGTGTGAAAAATGGTCATAAGTCACCTACAGGGTTGTTGTAATTTTGAACAGTTGTATGTTGAGGATTACCTGTACTTCCCACTTCGATGTTCTGATTTAGAAAAGCAAACATCATCAAATAAATCCTTGACTTCTACATTCTGATGCTTCTTCAGCAAAAATACTAGAATGATTAGGGATTGAAAAAAATCTCTTTCATATGATAGCCGATGAATTTGCACTGTTTCAGAGAATGCATACTTCCACCTTTCTCCCTTTCTGGAATGAACAAAAGAATAATGAGAAAGGCAAGCAATTTAGGACAAAGTCATCAATGTATTCTTTAAGGATATTCATTTTAGCCTGGTTGCTGAAAGAGGAGCAATGACCGTCTATGCCCTGATTTATTGAATTTAGGAACACCATCCAGCTGAAATTCTGTGCTGTGCTTTTGGTAGTTGATACTGTAATGGGATGTGAGAATAACCTTGGGAGATAGGAGGCAGAACCAGTCAGGGCAATGGTCAGACAAGAGACATTTCAATCCACAGAAGGAATGGGTGGTGGGGCTGGGGGTGGGTTGGAAAAAGCATCGCAGAGGGAACCCTTCCTTGTTCTCTGAATAGTAAAGGCAAGGGAGAGAAGAAGTGCTTTCACACTTGAGAGATTCTGTAACTTAACCTTACAATAAGGTTGGTATTAGTACTTACGTTTCTTGTTTAGACTACTTTGAAGGGCTGACAGATGCTTGCTTGCTGTCAGCTTTGTTCTATTCTTCACTTAACCTGTGGGTGACAAGCAAGAATGTTTCAATGTAGTACTTCCTTCAAATTGAGCCAGCCATTGGCTAAAAATGGCATTGTTCCAAGGAAGAATATCATAGATAACACCGCTTGATTCAGGATTGGACCATAGGAGTTGGCAAATAGGAAGTATTGTGTATGTTTGTTGCCTTGAGTTACTTATAAAGTAATAAAGGCAGAGGTAGGATTCAGCCGGTTAGGGCCAGTTCGGGTGAACCGGATGTAAATTTACATCCGGCTCACCGAACCAGTAGTTGAACTGACCAGCTGCCACCCACCTGGCCTCTTCCAGGAGTCTCCACGTGACCCATTTTGGATGCAGGTAAGCGCAGGGTCCGTGTGGAGGCTTTGGGAGTGTGAAAAATGGCCCTCCTGGAAGTTCTGGAAGTTTGGAAACAGGCCTGTTTCCAGCTTCCGGAGGGCTTCCAGAGCCCCGGAGAGGCGATTTTCACCCTCCCAGAGGCCTGAGAGAGACTCTGGGGAAGGTGAAGGACAATCCTCCTGGAAGTTCTAGTAGGCCATGCACATCCAGCAATCAGGCAGGGAATTGGTTGTTGGGATTTTTGATTCCCACCCCTGAATAAATAAAAGTGAGATAATAATCAGGTAGGATGGATGGATGGATGACAGACAGAAAAACAGAAGGACAGGAAGACAGAACAGTTACTTCCTTTTCTACAGCTTAATTACATATTTGTATATGGAAGGGAAAATCCCACAAATATACCACTACTTATGGCCTTTCCAACTAAATAAATGAGAAGTATGTAGTGTATCCATATTCTTGCTGCATTTGTAAATAGGTACTCTTTTAATAAAGACAATTTGTACTTTAAAATGCTTGGTACCATGTATTCAAGGCAAAACTATTGACTAACCGAATTCTTTCAGGCTGTGTATGAGAAATATATAATGTCACTGCCTAAAAGCAAGGATCCAGCCCCAGAATTTCTCTGGAAAGTGCCATAGCTTTTGCGGTAGAGAAAAGTATTAAATACACGAGGAGTAACTGTATTATAAAATACATTTATGGAAAAAAACCAACATGAAACAAATCACCTACTTTTCCCTCTTCAGAGCATAGTCACTGTGAACGTCAGCTCATGAGGACCAGTAGGCGGCCATTAAACACTCAAGACTCTGGCTCAGCAAAAACCTGAGCATCTTTTATTTCTCTAACTGTTCCTGGGGAGCATGTTGCATTGGCACAAAGAAAGAGCTCTAGTCTTGAAGGAGAGAAACTAAACCTTCTTATTCCTGTGTTCTTTCAGTTGCTGCTCATTCTCCTACATGTGTCCCCTTCTTTTTTGGTCTTTGTTAGGCTGGATGAAAACATGAACGTCTGTGTTGCTGATTTTGGGCTTTCAAAAAAAATCTATAGTGGAGATTATTACCGTCAGGGCTCTGCCTCAAAGCTGCCAGTGAAGTGGCTTGCATTGGAAAGTCTGGCGGACAATCTCTACACAACTCATAGTGATGTGGTGAGTGGAGATAATTTTTTTTTGTCTTTTTGTGCATTGCTTTCATAATTATCTGTGATATGAAGAAATATCTATTATTCTATTTTGTTGGCTAGGTGTTTTGTGATCCCAGTCATGCTTATTTTTGATGATCTTTGTACCATAATTGTTGTATGTTGTAATGACGAGGCAGTCGAGTTGTTTGATCATGAACAACTGAATCATGATCATTTTTATTGGAGTTTAGTCTTGCATTTATACACGTTTTTAGTTATCCTCCATCACTGGTTAACTTTGGTTACTGCTTAACTTTCGTTACTGTTTAGCACAGTAATTAATACAATTAATTATCTCTAGTTAAAGTCTAACATATGTTTACTTCCTCTCTCTAATCCTCCTTTAGATTAGTGACTTTGTTTGCCTGAGTTGTATTTGCTTGGAAACATTCTTTATCTGAGATTTGCCATCCGAGATTGGAACATTCCTGCAATTACAACTCTACAGTTGTAGTGCTGGTATGGGTCAAGAGTACAAACCAACCAGACCACAGCACAGATTTATTCTGCTGTATCATCATGAACAAGATCGTGAAAAGTGAATGTGCTAAATTTGACTGAATCTGAAGCTGCAACAATTTGTCTGCAAAACAATCAATCACAGAGATAATTCCTAAAGAAAATAGCAGCTTATTTTCATACCTTCCTTCTAAACATGCAGTCGGTAGAAATGAGATTTGGATCTTCTCCAGTCAGCGCATTAAAGGTTTTATTGGTAGAGTAGATTTTAGGTCTTTAATATGGCATTTGTGATTGTCTATGGGACCCTTGATACCTATCAAGTTTAATGCTCTGCGGGGTTTTTTTTAAAAAAACTTTTAATTAAAATGTATATATTGGAGAGCAAAAGGCTCAAGATAATAGGTATTTTTTTATATATTTGACTCCCATAGGCATGTTTAGAAAATAAAATTGGAAGATAAATCTATGCCCAATACGCAGGCATTCAATGAAGCATTTCATGCTCCAAAATTTGTAATGTGCTCTTTCGCTTGGAAACCTATGGATGAGATAGGGCAAACCTCCATGTTTTTGATCATGGAATGTTTGTGAAGCTTGTAATCTTGCAAGAGCATTTTGCATTGGTTTTTCCTGGTTTCTATTTTATCATGTCTTCATTTTCTACAGTCTCTTCTCTTTATGTAACCTCGCCCTTCTGCTTTATTACACAATAATGGCCGATTACATCATTCCAAGCTTCTACACTTTGCTTAAATGCTGTACTATATATAAAATACAACGATGAATTATACCATATTGATCATGCAAAATCTGGTAATAACAGGACGGAAAATACAGATTTAAATCCCTGATTGGGAGCAGAATTTCCGTTGCCTAAGTGAAGCGGTCATTATGTGAAACGTGATCGTACCGTTTAGCAACACCCACTCTAGTAGTCACAGCTGTGGTCATTAGGTGAGGGCCTCATGCTTCTCCTGCCCTGCCATGCTTGCCTCCACTTCAGTTTTCTCCCCCCCCTCTATGTTTCCTCAGTCCCTGCTCTTTTGGCACTGCTGCCCTCTGCCATCCCCGGCTACCCCAGCTGATGTTCAAGGTCTTCTTTCTCCCACTAACGTGCACCTAGCTAGATTTTGAGCATGTGACGGCAGAAATGAAGCAATGGCTGTAACTTTGAGGTCCATTCATTCATCTCTCATCGTAATTTCAATCAGTCGCTGAACGAATGGTCATAAAGCGAGAACTACCGTGTTTCTCATATAATAAGGCTGGGTCTTATTTTTTTTTGAGCCCCGAAAAAAAGGCCGTCTTTTTTGGGGTGACTTAATTTCCCCCCCTCTTGCATCTTCGGGCGGGTGGGCAGCGATGGCTTGGATGTTGACCTCGGCGTTGGTGGGGCACTTCATATTGGGGTCAATGCAGGCAGCACCATATCCAGGTGTGCAACTAAAGTACTTCCTAACGGCAAGCCCCCCCACCATTCCCCCCCATTTCGCATGTTTTAATATAGGCCTTAATTTGGGGGGAGGGGCTTAATTTCATTTCATGCCTATAAAACATGCTGGGACTGCCTATTGGGGGAGGCCGTATTGTTGGACAAACAGGGTACCTAGAATGTAACACCTACACTTCTCTGAGTTCTTAATGAAAAGGAAAGCGGACTGTATACGCTAATCTGAAGTCTCTGTAGATCCTTTCTTGCAAGTATCAAGACACGGATGTTTCTCAAAAGTAATGCACTGTACACAATCACTTTAAGTCAGGGGTGTCAAACTCAAGGCCTGTGGGCCTCTGGCCTGTGGGGTGCTTAAATCCAGCCCATGAGGCCAGCCTGGAACTATCAAAGGACTGGCCCGCGGTGCCTCTAACAGCTAAAATGGGCTGTGTGCAGCCCCCATGCGCCTTGTTTTCACCCTCCATGGCCTCCTACAGCACTCTGCTGGCCGAAAATGGGCCCAAAAATGGGCTGCGCAGCCCACTTTTGCCCGGCAGAGTGCTGCCAGGAGGCCATGGAGGGTGAAAACGAGGCACGGGGCCGCCTGTGGACCCCCACACCCCGTTTTAGCCAGCAGGGTGCTACAAACCCCTGTGCCACTGCCGTTCTCCTCCCCCCCCCAAGCTGGCCCACAGAGAAGAACTACAATGCTGATCTGGTCCTTGAAGAATTCCAGTTTGACACCCCTGCTTTAAGTACAAGGGTTCATGAATTCGGTTCCCAGGAGAATGTGTAAATTCCATAGTAAGATCTGTTCCATATAAAACAAAAACTGCCACATACTGCCTCCTGGTGGTCAACATAAATAAAAACCACCACCCAGGATATACATTTTTGTACCTGCGCACGCGCACGCACGCACACGTAAGCTGAAGAGTTCTAAAAAATAACCCATTCATGCAAATCACTACTGATTACCAGACATTCTCCTGAGTCAAACACAGTTGAAAACGCTTGTTTCTTTTCTGTTGAAAATATTTGTAATTATTTTTTGTCTTCACCTCTTTCAATTCCAATTCAGTGGGCATTTGGTGTGACTATGTGGGAAATTGTGACCCGAGGGCAAACTCCATATGCAGGCATTGAAAATGCAGAAATTTACAACTACCTCATCAGTGGAAACAGACTGAAGCAGCCCCCAGAGTGCCTCGAAGATATGTGAGTGGCTTATTCGCCTATTTTCTTACCCAGGCTTTGGCAAAAAAAAAAAATGTGCAGAAGAATAGTCATGTTTTGAACAAGTTTAGCACTGTTTGAACAGGAAAACCTACTTACCAATACACTATGCCTCTAGGAGTGTGATTGCATCCACATATTTTTAATTTGAAAAAAAAATCTGGTGTGCTTCAAAGAAATGTTTCTAAATTACTTTAAACATTTGCAACCAAAATAGACATGGAGGTACCCCACTGTAACAAATGCGTTATGCCCAGCACATATGCAATCACTAAATCATGTCTTCGTGACCTCATGGACAGCAAGCCAGACAGCCTCATCTCCACTGTCCCAAACCCATCTCCTTCTCTTGCCACTTCCCTTTTCCTTTTGCCTTAAATCTTTCCCAACATTGGGGTCTTTTCCGGTGACTCCTCTCTTCTCATTAGATGGCCAAAGTATTTGAGCCTCAGCTTCAGTATCTGTCATTCCAAAGAACAGCCAGGGTTGGTTTCCTTTTAGGGCATATATAATGCATGCTTATTGAGAATGAGTTCCAGTATGTCAAAGACATTAAGCATTTTAGTGTCCGGGGGTCTTATCACCTCATACATACAGAGGACCATAATTTTCCTTTGTTCTCAGTTTTGAAAGTTCCCAGTTCTGGAAATTTTAAAACAGGATAAGCCTATTCTAGGACTTAATATAGCATTGCAACGTATTTCCCAAAAGACTAAAATTCACATATTTACAATGAAATTCACTGTCTTAGTTCAAGGGGATTCCAAGAATCAAAAACAAAGATTGGAAAACTATATGACCTAAAGATTGCTGGTTTATCCACCTTGCATTATTTTAATATTTGTTTACTATTGCCATAAATAATCCCAGCTATAATTTAGTAAAGTACTTGTGATTGTTTCACGGTCATATTTAATTTATTATATACAACACTCGGTTAATCTGAAAAAAGTGGACCATGCCCTTGTGGGAAAATGCTAGGAAGAAAAGATAACGCATTCTCCCCAAAACAGATCTGTGCTTAATAAACGCACAGAGCAGATCATTTAAGTATGGTAACAATTCAACAATTGTGGAACTGGTGGTAAATGAAGCCTAAAAGTGCAAAAATATTATGAGGTAGATTCAGTTTAAGTCTCTTGAGAAATCATCCAGTGGACAGAATATGCATTTCTATTATTCAATAGCCTCCGTATCCATCCCTATGCTATGGAGCTAATGATATCAAGCAGCCATTTTCAAGAGGGAGGGGGAATGCAGGTGGCTCTTTTTGTGTTGTCTCAGCACTCTGTCCTCTGACTTGCCTTGCAGCTACGATCTCATGTGCAGATGCTGGCATTTGGAACCCAAGCTACGTCCAAGCTTTGGAGCTCTGAAACTGCAGCTTGAAATGATTTTGGCAAGACTGTCATTGCTTTCAAACAGCCAGGACCCTCTTTATGTCAACGTTGGGAGATCCCAAGAAGCTTGCAGGAGCGAAGACACCATGAATTGCCCTTTTGGAGTCTTGAATGGGGAAACAGGAGCAATTGCTGCTGTGACTAGTGACTACCGTTACATTATGAACCCGTTGTGCCTTGGAAACGATGCAGAAAGTGAGAGACATCAGGATTTATCTGACGGAGAAGCCCAGAGCCTTCTTTACGATCTAGAGATGGGAGCAAAACTATGTTAGCCCAAACAAACAAACAAAAACAAAAAACAGACTTTACTTCTCCCTCCAATAAGATGTGTGTATCTTATTGTATCATCTTATGGTATCACCAAACAGAGACGGTTGGAAGCTGCTTTTAACCAACAGAAGTTGTCGTAATTAATGTCAGCGGCACCTGTGGCTTCTGACAGCTGTTTCAGAGCTAACATCTCAAATTGACAGAATCACCTCCTGGCCTTCCGAGAGAAACCCTGCAATTGTCTGTGAAATGCAGTGGGGGTGGCCTCTAGACAGCCTGCTGAATCGCAGTATTCTCCTTGGGAATTGGGGTTAAGTACTCTGCATATTTTGGGGTGAAGGGTTTGTTTGTTTTTTGCCTCCTAACAGATACGGGAGAAGAGGCATGTGCCACAAACTCCGAACCATGGATGCTGTCTTTCAGAGCATGAGAATCAAAGAGCCTAATTTAGCAGTAGCTACCTCAGTGGTCCTCAAACTGGGTTCTAGACAGCTGCTTCTCTACAATGAAGAAAGACTGGGCTTTTTCTCAGAGTGATGTTTAGTAGGCAGAGGAAAACGCTTCTGGAAAGATAAGGAAATTGAGCAAGAGTGTTCCGATTTCCCTCTTTTCCCAGAGGTTCCTGTTTACCTACCTTTTTTTCTTCTTCTTTCTGATTTGAATCATGCAGGTTTCCCCCACCCCCCCCACCCCACATTTATAACAAAACTGACCACATGGGGACTGGTCATTTATGTGAATAATGCAAAAATAATAGACATCTGCATTGGAACAATTTGGCATCAAAATCAAAAATCTTGGACCCATTTACCTGATTGTAATCCCACAAATTTAGTGGGATTTACTTATGAATAGGTATTAAAAATTCTGCAAAATTCTGTTAGTGGGCACACTTTGGGGCATTTAGCTTCATTTCCGTTTCTGTCTAGCTACTACAGTGATGTGACTGAAATTGTAGCCTTCTTTTCCCTATGTATTCCTTGGGAATGTGGGGAAGCTAAACCTCCACAAAATGAAAAACTAAGTGCTGAGGGGTTTCATATGGGTTATAAGTATATATTGCTTATAAGTATAAGCAATAATATTTTATTGCTATGAAAACACTCACACGATATCTAAATTAAAGGAGGTAATTCTTTTAAAAAATATATTAAAATTATGCATCTATTCTGGCACCTTTTCTTTTTAAAATAAATATTAGCTCTGCTAAATAAATGATTGACTGACATCAATGGAATACTTAGGGTTTTTTTTTTCCTAATACAGAGAAAGAGCTGTTTTCAGTTTGAAAGCTTGAGAATCACTGGCTTGTTAAATTAAATGTCATCTTAAATGCTTTTCAGCTTTTCTGTAAAAATTAAGTTCCATGCATTATTTTGTGCCTTCAAGTCTTGATTTCTGATACAGCTACCTAATTCAGCAACATTCCAGTCACAATAGGAAAGTACTATATCATGTGCTTTCAAATGAAATGTCAATGAATACATTTATTTTTTTCTAGCTACCGTATTTCAAATATAGTATAAGCCTTTGGTCCCTAATGTGATGCCAGAAGCAACAATGTGCCTACCAGTACATTTCTTAACATCTCCAAATATCTCTACCTTACCTGATTGTATTTATTTACATTCATTTAGTAAACAACGATTGGGAAGCTAGCATGTTCTAAAACACAGCACCAGCGTTAAATTTCTAATAATATAACTGGGCTCTCAAAGTCTCTGACAACATTTTGGGAAATTAAAATGGGCAATGTCTGCAACTTTGGGTTTTATTTTCCTTCTAATATGTTTGTGACTAACCTCATTTATCTTGGCAGCCATTTGGTGGGAAAGCCTATAGTATTCTTTTAAAATGCTCATTGATTTAAAAAGGTTAAAAAGGCTTAAAATTGTTAGCCATACTCTCTTTGTTCATTGCGTTCACCAAAAATATTTCTTCTTCACAATTGTAGAAAATTAGTAATGTAGAATTTCTATAAATCTAGCTGTCAAAGAAATCCTCATGAGGGACCTTGATAAGGTTCTTTCTACCTATTAATTATTTTTTTCAATCTTTTTTTTCACAAAAATGGGATGCTTAAATATGATACGCCTCCAACAATTAAGAGTGGAATTATCATACTCAAGTCATAATGCTTATCTGTGCTGTTCCATCTCTGCTTGAGTTCTTACACAGCCTTTCCCTATCCCAGCTCTTCAGATAAATATTAAATGTGAATGTTAAATTCCATCATAAGATATTGAGCTGGGCTGACAGAAGAAACTGAATTCTATAACATCTGAAGTGTTGCGAGTTGAAGAAGGCTCCCCTGTTACCACCTTTCCATGTATCTAAGAAATAGAACCCACCAGATTTCTCTACAGAGAAGACCGCGGTTTGGTCTTACTGAGCCATGATGGTGCAACGTTTAGAATGCAGTAGTGCAGACTAATTCTGCCCACTTCTAGGAGTTCGATCCTGACCGGCTCAAGGTTGACTCAACCTTCCATCTTTCTGAGATCAGGAAAATGAGGACCTAGATTGTTGGCAATATGCTGACATTGTAAACTGCTCAAGAGAGTATTGTAAAGCAGTGACCCCAAACTTCTGGGCACCAAGGACAGGATCTGTGGGGGGGAAAATTCCCACGGACCAGGGTATATGCATATGGTTCCATATGCTACCTATATCCTGCGCATGTGCAGATGAAGGTCCACTCAATCCAAGGTTCATGCCAGTTCCCATGGGGGCTGGGGACCTCAGCTGTAAAGCACTATGGAGCGGTATATAAGTCTAAGTACTATTGCTATTAGTTAATTATATTACATTTAGGGGATAGTAAAAATGGTCCCTGCAAGAAAATTGGGAGAGAAACAATTTATTAAAAGGCAGAAGCAGTTCTTGGCCTTCCCCTATTTCTATTTGTCCTATGGAAAAATTTTCTTAACTTCTTCCACCAGATTCCTTAACAACCACTATGAACTATATTATAATGTTCATTTTGTTATCTGCCTTGTTTGCATATTTAGTGGCTTTTTTTTTTACATAAAAGCAGGGAAAAGCAATCCATCCTGGCCAGAAAGGGCAATAAGCCTTCTTCACCTGAACAAAAGCTGTGCGTATGTGTTTGGGAGCGAAGCAAACTGCTCCTATGCCTTATTCAACCACATTCTTTCACTATAGGGACCTTTCTCCATGATTTAGTACACAGTGGAATAGAAACTTCACATCATCACAATGCAGTGTTATCAAAAGCAAGTCATTAATGTGGTGCATGGTAAAACGGGGCATGCTAATGATATAATTATGAACAATAGTCCTGTCAGTGATGTTAAGGAATTCTGTATTTCATATTCTGGCTTGACTTGAAAGAGCTGGGATCGAATAATTATCCTATGTAGCCCAGTTTCAAATATCATATTTGCATCTAAGTCTCAACCAGAAATAAATGTTCTGCAATAATTTATGGGTATTTACTTGATTGAATTAAACCTCCCTTATATTAAACTTAAAAGAAATGTAGGAGACTCTTTAAAACTGCACAGCCACATCCAGGCTTCCATTGTAGTGGGTAACAATATGACCCCATTCTACTGTACCTGCTTACTAAGATCTGAATGCTTTTCCTTGGGCATTTCTCAATAGCAGAAAACTAAAACAAAATCATGCACGATGAACAGATTCTTGCGTGCTCTGGGAAAAGGAGGGGCGGAGGGGTTGAAGCTGTATTGATTAAAAAAAAAAAATCTTATGTGAGCACAGAATCCTGATAATAGAGTTGGAATGAAATTGGGATATGATTAAACTGACGATAGAATAGAGTGAGAGAAAGTTGTCCAAAGATTTAGTGCTTTGTTGTAGGTGTACGAATTCAGTCTCAAAGAATTCAACTGGATTTACTCTCAGTCTCAGATGCCTGTGGGAGTACAGGTTGTTTCTGTGGCAGCCATTTGACAAGAACAGCAAATGTACATATAAAAACCTAATTTTCTGAAGCATGTATCTAGTTTTTATGATTTTTTTTAAAAAATAAAATATGTATTGTGTCCTATTGATTGACTGATTCCATGCTGTTAAGTTGCTGTAAATTCTTAACAACCACATACATATTCTCCAGGAGGAACTGCTTTCACTTTGGTCTTCCCACGGTGCACCCAATTCTACTGTAACTGAATCCATCTATCTAGTAATCATCCTCTTCTTTTTCCTTCCAGCATTAGGCCTTTCTCCAAACAGCTAGATATTTGCATGATGTGCCCAAAGTAGAATAATGGAAGCTTGATAATTTATGCCTCAAGTAAAAACCGTGGGTTGATTTGTTTGATGAAACTTTTGTTTTCTTAGTTGTCCATAGTACTCCTGACTCTGCTCCAACACCAACATTCAGAAGCTTCAGTGCATCTTTTATTCATTTCACTTGGTTGCTTTTTAAAAGCCCAGAGTAGAATTGATTACACTGATGCATGGAATCAATGGAATCAATGAAATAATAATATAAAATGCATTGAATCAAATGATCACTTTTTTTGTTGCAAGATTGAATAGGCAAAATCAGAGCATAAGATGGAAGTATACAATCTTACACTTAATACATTAATAATATGCTACTAGTAGGATCCAAACTGTGTGCTAAATATAAACCATTCAAACATTTAAAATGGGGTCAATATGATTTCTTAATCCAAAGCCTGCGGGGGAGCCATGTTCCATCTTTTAAAAGACAGGTAGGGTCCACCCCATTGGGAGAAATGCTGTTCCGGCTATGGTAATGGAGAAGGCATATCTCCTGGGTCTCCTAAAATGATGCTTCTTAATAAATGGGACACAAAGCATATTTATTTTTTTTATTTATATCAGATGGGCAAAGAAAGGTGGAAACAATCCCACAAATAACAGGCTTCTATGACCATACCGATGCCTTCATGCTGTTGTCATGTAAAAATGCAGATGGAGGTGGCTCAGCAAAATGACTAATTCCATCTACATTCATCATCCTCAGACAAAATCTAAACTTCAGACCTTGTTCATAATATATGGCCTAGTTTTTGTTTTTCTTTCTTCCCCTGATTTTAATGTCATATCAGTCTCACAGAGAATTCTAAAAAACTCAAAAATGAGCAGGCCCTAAAAAATACCATCAAATTGTGGGCTTCATTTATTATAGAAATGGGATCTTGTGCTGATAAAAGTGCTACATCCTTTGTAATCAATAGTGTTCACATAGCATTTTCAAATTCTGTATTATGTAAGATGCATAGCTTCATTCCTTTTTTTGAAAATTGCATATGCAAGCATTCCTTGACTTACAACCATTTGTTCAGTTGTCATTTGAAATTAGAACAGTGCTGAAGGAAGGGAATACCGCTTGTCATTGAAGTTACAACTACTGCAACACCTCTACGGCCACATGATAAAAATTCAAGTGCTTGACAATCTGCCCACCCAAATGACCAGCCACAGGGATGTGGCAACTGCCTCTATCCACCTGCCTTCCCCCCATCCCATCCTGCTGGGTCCCAGAGGCCTTGGGCCTCCTCCCCACCCTGGAACATCTTGCTCTGCTTACCTCTTTCTGAAAGAGTCCCTGCCGAATGAAATGCATGGCCTTACTACCAAGTTACTTCATGCCATCCTGGAAGTGGGGACCAGTCTGGAAGTGGATGCCATTATCATAACCACTCAGAAGAATGTGATTTTCCAAGTTGTGCATTCAAAATGTGTGCACTCCGCCATTCTGAGAAATTGAGAGAATGGTGACCACTTCCAGAATGGTGCAAGTAGGCCTCTGTAGGAAGGCATCAGCTGGTACTCTTTTGGAAGAGATAAGTAGAGCAAGACATAAAGGGGTGCGTGTGAAACACTATATCAGTTTCTTACAGTGGAGAAAAGGCCCAAGGCTATGGGATCCAGTGGGGTGGAAAGCAGTGCAAGGGTGCCTCAGAGTGGGGCAAAGCATGTGTGAGCTGTGGCTGGGGAGTGCTTCAGTACTGGCCTGGGCCAAGCCTCCCCAGGTCTCCCCCACCTTGAGGCATCCCACGCTCTGCTTAATGACTGCGATGGGGAGAGCTGGGATGTGGACATTGAACGAGACAGTCAGGTGGGCACCTTGCTTAACAATTGTACTGATTTATGACCAAAATCCTGACCAATTACCATAACCAGATGAATATAAATTAAAGCTATAAAATACATATACTTCATATTTTATTAATCTTTGTACAGTATTCTAGATTACATTTTATCTGTGGGTCTTTTATTTATTCATTGGATTATTTCTAAATTATTTTCTAATCCAGGAAAGTCCCCTATGGAAATTTACAAACTCACAAATTTCCAAGTCAGAAATTATTAGGTAAAGAAAACCAAACAAATATAAAGGGTAAAGTTAATACTCTTAATTATATTGGAAAATTAAGTAGAACAAAGTAAATGCTCATGCAAATTCACATAGAAGGACACATCTAATACCTCTTGAAGCTTTCGGCTGGTGTAATCCATGGCTCCCGCCCTTGGGAACATCTTGTCACAGAGAATTAGATCTGCCCCCTATTTCTAGCTTCCAGGATAGGCCTTAAAACCTGGCTATGCTGTCTGGCACGGGGTCCTGAAGGAGAAGCTATTGCCTAGAGACTATTAGTCACTAACAGAGAAGGCACCCTACCTTTTAACTCCAAACTCTCATTTTTTGTTTTAATTTTTGTAATTTTAATCCGTTTTTATTTTCATAATCATTGAATTTTTGTTTTGAGTGATGTGATGGTGAAGACACTCACTTCCCACTTAGAAAGTTGAGAGTTCAATCCTAGATGTCTCTCTCCTAGGGCACAAAGAAAAAAAAATTGCTGCGAACTCCGCATGATGTCAGGAAGGACATCTGGCCAGAAAACACTCAGTTCCATCCAGTCTCCCTGACTCTACCCTGAATTAAGAGATTACAAGGTCATAAAAATGAAGTTTTTTAAATCATCGAATGTTTTATCTTGATGTAAGCTACTCAAAGATGGGCAGAAAATAAATTACCTAGTGCTTAAAGTAGGCTAGAAAGCAAGTGGCTGTGAGTTCAAGTGCCTTCTTAGCTAT